AATGACAAACAAGGTTTCCCCATGAAGCAAGGTGTCCTCACTCATGGCCGTGTCCGTCTGCTACTTAGCAAGGGCCACTCCTGTTACCGTCCTAGGAGAACTGGAGAACGAAAACGCAAATCTGTTCGAGGATGCATTGTTGATGCCAACTTAAGCGTCTTGAACTTGGTCATTATAAAGAAAGGTGACTTGTTTGTCTGTTTTTCATTTGAAGGGGGGCAACACATATTAGCAAGAATTTGTCTTGGAAGAGTAGAAAATATTCCTGAGCTTTCACTTTGGACAAGTGGAAGTGGGCTTTCCTAGGCCATCCCCTTGGCATATAGTGGGGCATTACCTAAAGCAGGGGTAGGCAACCTTGGCTCTTTTATGACTCGTGGACTTCAACTCCCAGAATTCCTGAGCCAGCCGTGCTGGCTCAGGAATTCTGGGAGTTGAAGTCCACGAGACATAAGCCAAGGTTGCCTACCCCTGACCTAAAGGAATATGACTTTTGACAAGTTAATAATAATAAAAGATTCTTAGGTTTCCTCTTATCTTTTTAAAAATAATGCTTGTTTTGTAAAGGATAGCATTCAGAAACCAGAGACAGTTTGTCACAGTGAGGGATGATTTTTAGCATAAGTTTGCTAAATAATATAATGTACCTCTTGTTTGACAACTTTTCAAGGTGAGAAAGATATTCCTGGATTGACTGATCATACTGTGCCCCGTCGCCTTGGTCCCAAGAGAGCTAGCAGAATCCGAAAGCTGTTTAATCTCTCCAAAGAAGATGACGTCCGTCAATATGTTGTGAGGAGACCATTGAACAAAGAAGGTAAGAAAGTGGAAATAATACTTTAGCTGTGTTGTCCAGAGGGAATTATATACTTCAAGTAGTGCTTTTCTGTTGGTCCGTTCAAATTTCTACAGAAATCGACGGGTTTGAGGGAAAAATATGATAGCTAAATGAAAGTGTCAATTACTTAGTTTTCTTTTACCTTAAACTACTTAAACTTTGATATAGCTTGGTGTCAAATATCCTAGCTGATGTGCATGTGTAGGTATGTTTAGGTATATATCTAAATTTATAGTCTGTTGCAATGCATTTTTCAAAGGTGGCATGTGGTAGCTTTTTAAAGAGGCAAAACATCTAATATGTAGAAGTTACTATAGATATACAAGATTTCTTACCTACTGTACTGCAGAAAGTTGTAACAGGAGAAAGTCGTAACATCGTCTGATTAAATCAGGACAGTAACTTAAGAGATTTTTTTCCTGGATAAGGACTATACTAATACTAAAACTAATATGTTTGAATAAAGCTTAACATTCAGTGGATTATTCTTTTATGACTGACAAATCATTCTGCATGGTTTAGCATGGTACATTAAATCCATGAACAAACAGCATTATAGGTTAGTGATTTCTGCATTTGATCCCGTGGTCTTTATCTGCACACGAATGCTTGAGATCAATTTTGATTATAAATGTGATTGTTCCCGCTTATCTTTCAAACTAGATTTAGTAGAGATAGTCCTCAGCTCATGACCACAATTGAGCACAAAAATTCTGCTGCTAAGTGAGACATTTGTTAAGTGAATTTTGCCCCATTTTATGACCTTTGTTGCCACACTTGTTAAGTGAGTCACAGCAGTTAAGTTAGAAACATAGTTGTTGCTAAGTGAAACTGGCTTCCCCATTGATTTTGCTAGTCAGAAGGCCGCAAAAGGAGATCACATGACCCCGAGACACTGCAACCGTCATAAATATGGGTCAGTTGCTAAGCGGCTGAATTTTGATCATGTGACCATGGGATGCTGCAACGGTCATAAGTGTGAAAAATGGTCATAAGTCACTTTGTTCGGTGCCGTAACTTTGAATGGTCACAAAGGACCTGTTGTAAGTTGACTACCTATATAAGGTGATCCTCCATAATAGTTTTCAATTGCTGTACACATGAGGAGCCAGTGCTCAAAGGTCCTGCCCAAGAACATGTAATTAAAGCATGATTTAGAGCAAGGGAAGGCAACCTTGGCTCTTTTATGATCAGTGGACTTCAACTCCCAGAATTCCTGGCTCAGGAATTCTGGGAGTTGAAGTCCACGAGTCATAAAAGAGCCAAGGTTGCCTACCCCTGATTTAGAGGATTTAAACTTTCACCATCTATATTTTTTTGAAGAGGAATCGGATTGAATTTTGTGCCCACCAGAGTTTGCGAGGACAGGCCATGCGCTGCCTTGTACACCTTGAATATCCCTTTCACCTATTTTACATATTCTGTGGATTATGTGAAATTACGCCTTTATATCTCCTTGTAGATGGGAAGACATACCCTTAACGTTCACCCGGCTTATCCTGTGTAATTATTTTACTTGGGTATTATTGTTTTAAGTATAGACCATCAGCCTCCGATTTCAAATAGCTCTTCAGTTGTTGACATGCCTGTCTTGCCAATCTTAGGTAAGAGGCCAAGGACCAAGGCACCCAAGATCCAACGTTTGGTGACCCCCCGAGTCCTGCAGCATAAGCGCAGACGTATTGCTCTAAAGAAACAGCGAACTCAGAAGAATAAGGAAGAAGCTGCCGAGTATGCCAAGCTTCTGGCTAAGAGAATGAAGGTCTGTTTCCTATATGCTTGGGGAGGGGAATTATTAGGGGTGTGTGGGGGGGTCATGTCCCTCTTCATGTGATTCTTGAACATGAAGCCATGTATCGGATACACCTCATTGCAAAACATTGATGAGCTTGAAGGTGAAACTGGAGGAAATTGTTGGCTCACAGGGCCAAACACCCACACACGTTTAATAGGCGTAATAGCATGTATATGAATATTGATTATTACATGAAGTGATCACCATGGGGGGGGGCTTTAGTGAAGTACTGGCATATAGAAATATGTCCCAACACATGGAGCAAATAAGTTAGGTCAGTGATGGCGAACCTTTTAGAGACCGAGTGCCCAAAACCTGCCCCCCGTTCCGCCTCCCGCCCTGCCTGCTCCGCCCCCTGCCCCACCCGCACGCAGGACCACCTAGTGCTTCCATGGCCCACTGCAGATCGGCCAGGCGGCCCTGCAGTGCCATGACAGCCATGCCCACCACCCACACCCTGCAACATCATCGGGGCACGACGGGGCACGAGGGCGGAGTCTTGTCTCTGCTGCCCAGCTGCCATGTCCTTGGCTGTGCTGCTCCGTGTGGCCGTGCCCAGGGGTGACTCTCCTCTTGGGGGGGCTGGGCTGGGGCGACAGCACATGTGCCCACAGAAAGGGCTCTGAGTGCCGCCTCTGGCACGCGTGCCATAGGTTCGCCACTACTGAGTTAGGTCTTTGTTCTAACCCATCCCTAGCTATTTTAATTCCCCAGGTAATTGAGGTTTTAAGCCATGCGATTGGCGCATTAGGGAAAAGATCAGTTTCTTAACCCTATTTACAACGTTGTGTGATATGAAGACTGTGCATGAGGGTGAACAATATATGATGCTAGGAATATAAACAGTACAGTTTTACTAGACAGAATCAAGTCTGTTGCTTTCACCTAAAAATGGCTTACGTTGCTTTAGGAAAATATTTGACCTTGGATATTGGAGAACAAGGGGATTGTTCAAAGTATTCAATGTATACTAGTAGAATTTATGGACAGGAAGATGAGCCTGGGGATATGTGGTTTCTTAAGGCTGTTGGTGAGTTCACAGGCTGAACGTAGCTGACATCCTGGCCACGGCCTTAAATGTTATTACAATATGCTTACATATTTGGAAATTGACAGCTACAGATAGACTACAGATAGGTGTTTCTGCTATGGTAATAGAGAAGAAAGTACTTATGACTTCACACAATGAATTTACAGCATTTAAAAAACTGAGATGCAGTTTTAGGCTAGTAGGTAATATCCTTGGTCTCTTTTCCAGGAGGCAAAAGAGAAGCGGCAAGAACAAATAGCGAAGAGGCGTAGACTTTCTTCTCTGAGAGCCTCTACATCTAAATCTGAATCAAGCCAGAAGTAAGCCATGAACTGTGCTCCTAAAAAGGTTAAAATAAAATTTTTATGATCTGAACAAACTGATTCTGTTATCCTTTTTGCTAATTTCCTGTCAGTTGAAATTGCCACTTGAATGAATGTCTACAGTGGATTTCTGCTTGATGCAGAGGTTTCATTTTTTGTATCATTCAGGACTGTGATGGTTTTGGCTTTTCCTTGCTCAGCAAATGGCCTCTTATTTATGTCGTTCTTATAGCAATAGAACGTAGATTTATATACCACGTCATAAGTGCTTCGCAGTGCTCTCTTGAGCAGTTTACAGTGTCAGCATATTGCCTCCAACAATCTGGGTCCTCATTTTACTGATCTCGGAAGGCTGAGTCAACCTTGAGCTGGTTAAAATCGAACTCCTGGCTGTGGGCAGAGTCAACTTACAATACTGCATTCTAACCACTGTGCCACCATGGCGTATGTACGAAACATATAGTTAATTTTATACATTTAATTTTAGCTTTAAACCTCTGCTAAACAGTTCCTCCTCCACACACAAAAAGCAGACGTGAGAAGGTATGGTATCTGTATACTTTTATTTTTTTAACAATAATATTAACAAGTGGTTTCTAAATCACTCAGGGTATCTATACAAAAGTAATTTTAAAAAAATTACCACCCTTTTATCTACAGGAAATTAGGTATTTGTTAGATCAAAGCAAGCATACAGCTGACATTGTTTTTGTACAACAGAATTATAATTATTGCATTGGTAATAGAAAACTCTCCCATGTCAGTCTTGTCCTTCCATATTGCAAATGCATAATTAAATGACCCTAAAGAAACTGCAAACCGTGCATTTCTTTGTTTTTAAATTATCTCCTTTTCATACTTCAATTATCTACAATGCAGGATAATTTCCAGTTTCTCTAACAGTGCATGGAAGAATAAAAACAAATGTATCAGTTAATGTTGAGTTTAAAGGTGACTTTTACAAATTTTCCTTAAAATATTAAAAGCTTGGGATGTTCACAGTTTCATTTCTAAATTACTAGAAGCTGTAAAAAATGTTTTCTAACATTGCTTTTACGTAAAAATGATCAATGGTCAAGAATAACAAATGCACATTTATCTTAATATGTGTCTTTTCTAAGGCTATGGTTATCTAATGCATATTTTAAAAATAGCTCTTTTTAAATTATAAACTTAATTTGAAGCCAGATATAGTACAAGTGTTTTAGATTAAGTAGATTAGTTATGAGCATAAACCTGTCCTAAATGTTTTTACAGCAAACCTACTTTATAAAATACAATTGAAAATGGGAAATAGCTTCATTGCTAATTGCTCTATTTTTTTTTTTTTTACAAAACTACTCGATAGAGGTTTTGATTTATCTAACACAATGGATTTTTCAGTCTGATATTCGGTAATGACATCAATAGAAGTAAGATGCATGCAAGTTTATATTTCCGTACTTTTTCCCTCTTACAATTAAATAGCTCTGAATTACATGAATTTTTACATGGCATTTGACAACAGATACCACCCTCCACATAATCTCATTTAACTCAAGACTTGTTTTAGAGCATAAATACATAAGGTTGCCCTGAGGGATATTTTTCTACCCCTCCCCAAAAACATCGATTTATTTCCAAATATGTATAAAAATTGGCTGTACAAATATAATTGGCATTATTTTATAACTTTGAATACTCACTTTTTATTGTTTTATTAAGGTTTTCAAAAGTATTCACCAGCCATTGAAATGTTCATCTTTGAATCAGTAAATGACAAACAAATAAGTCTCATGGATTTCACTAAAATATTACCTACATCAAAGCATATTATGAGATCCCAGAATTTGCATAACCACTAACTCTTCCTATGGCTTCTAATATTACATGCATTAAAAGCAAAGCGGGCTATTCCTCTATAGATAGTAAGAGGGGGGGGGTGTCTGTACTTGATTTCAAGAGCAAATTTGGAAATAGCTTGTGACTTGAATCTACCTGTTGAAAAACATTGAAACACTGAATATTTTGACCTATACATATTTGTATTAAAATAAGATCAAAGGTGATATATTCAAAAGGCACACAAGAGCTTTGGTATGAAATCTATGTAGTATTAAATCCACTGTCGTGGATCTAATTAACAATCATTCTAAGTTATAGTTTGCTAACTAGTTTATTGGGCAGTGCATGGATCGTTGAACGCTTGACAGAAATTGAACAAGATTCTTGGTCAGCAAGCCCATTCTTTAGGGATGATGGAAAATTTCATTCAAGAATGGGACCCCCCTCATGAAATTACATGTTCACTATCCTGAGAGGGGAGACACCCCCCCCCCTAACCTGTTGGGGTGGTCAGCATGCTGGACATTTGGGAGCATGAGAACTGTCATGAAATGACTTGGGGAAGATCTACAGTTAAACGCCACACGGCAAAAGGACAGCCCTGCTTCTCCCCTGCCTTATCTTTACTTTTTTTCTGTATGTTTGTGTGTGTGGGTGGGGAAAATACTTTAAAAAAAAAATCTAGGCTGCCTATATTTGCTTTCTAAAGATATTCTGGAATTTTTGCAGGATTGAGAGCATTTTTTTGCTAATAAGACGGCATTTTATTTTGCTTAGAGGTGGCATATTCCTTTATGCTGGTATCACATTTATTTTTAAAAAATTAAAAATAACGGATTTGTGGGTACAGGTGGGCCCCCAAATGCCAAAGCAACATTTATACCGGATCAACTGTCAAAATGTCTTACTGTGTACAAAACTAATAGCAGAGCATAAGACCAATTTTGAATTTTGACTTGTTACTATTACAGAGGGATCAAAAGAGGGATCATTAGTTAAACATGCAATGTTTCAGGGTAGCCCACATGGCTCCTGATGACAAGTAAACTATAATAGTTTATAAATGAAACAAGAAAACGGTTGCGGAGAAATAGCTTTCATTTTTTTAAAAAAATAATCGAGATTTTTGTCCTTATGTTAAGATATAATTGCTATAATGTAAATATGACTAGATAGAATTGTGTTTCATAAGAGGTTTATTAATATAAAATCACGCGTAGATGACAAAAACCCATTGTACTTGCAGATGGACATAAGTGATTCAAAAATTAAAACTGCTAAATTGTACAGAAAGTGTTAACGCCCTAATCCCCCAATACTTCCTTGAAAGGGTGAGACCAGAAAGCAATACAATGGAAACTGTTTTAGACAGTAGCTTTTAAAAACATGGAAATTCCTTTAAAAACAAATTTCCAAGAATTTTGAAATGTGGCTTAGAGTGAATAATTTTTTAAAAAATGCTATCGCACCAGATTGCTCAAACAAGTGCAAAATCTTGTGTTCTGCGTAATGTGATCATTTCACTTTGACTAAGATTTGCAATAGCTCATCTCCAGCAGTATTACTAAAGAATGAATAGTTATATAGGCAAAAGACAGCCTTGAAAAGTCATGATCAAGAATGCATTTTGTATCTTAATCAATTTTTAAAATTCATAATTGTTTCTTTAAAAAAATTATTGAACATTGCCCAAATCTTTATTGCAACACTGCTTTAAATGAATATGTGATGGTGGGAGATAAACCCGAGGATTGCCAAGAAAAGTGAGGTGTGAATATAATAAGCAGGGAAATAAAACATTTTAAAAATTAGTATTTTCATTTTCAGTAAATTCATCTTCAAGTGTATGAGTATAAATAAATTTAACATAGAAGTATTTAACTCAGCCAGTGCAAAAAAGATACATATCCCACAGGTTAGAAAAAAATAAGCAGGGATGGAACATTAGTGCGCTGAAATTTTAAGCTCTGTCCCATATATATGTACATATGTTTGTGGGTCTGTGTATATAGATGTACACAAGACACCCACACATGCAATTTTCTATGAATGCTAAAAATATGAATATTTCATGCTCCTTTATGTACCTTGTTCATGTATTCTCAGTTTTCCTTTATAAAAAGTCTTTGAGCCACTCTGGGTAGATACCCATCATTGCTTCAGAAAAACATATGTACAGTTTTAAAAAGTTACTATGAAAAGAAGAAACAATAAACTTTGCTTTACACAGCCAGGATCTGGGTTATAATTTTTCTGTGAATTGGGACAGTGATGGCTTTTAACAGGCCCACTTGCTAAAGCTACAGCCTATTCTTTTGAACCAAGGAAAATAACTGTATTTCATAATGAAAATGTACACAAAATATGTACATACAAATATAGTAGAATTTTCTCCATACATAAATCTGCTTTTGAGCTAGAAGGCTAACTTGAGTTAGAAGGAACACTGCAACTCTTCATAAGAAAGAAAGCAAATTAATGTCCCTTTGTTGACATTTTTCACTTCTAGATAGAAGAAGAAGAAGGGAAGAATTACATAGAACATGGTTGAAAGTTAACTGCCAATTTGATTATTTTGTATTAGCGTATTTAATTCATGAGCTGGTATAAATATCAAGTGTCACAAAACCATGTTACTGACTTAAGTGGATTGCACACAGCGATTGTTTTAACTAGAATTTGGGAGCTCAAAGCCAAATTTATACATTCCCAGTCATCTCTCCTTTTTCTCGGTAAATCTTCCACGGTGGAATCTATATGAGAGGTGCCCCAAAGCATTTTCTGCACCACTCTACATTGTCACTGGGTGGAGAATCAATCTTTTGCATTTTTTTCAGTACTTCTACTGGAAGGCTTTTATATGCAGCTCTGTATTCGTTGTCAAAGGCCTCTGCAAACAGGAAGACAATTTAAGAGTCAGGAAGCACAGAAATTATACTGTATTAATTGGTTTGTCATCCTTTTATTCCCCCACAATTCAAAATCCAAACATATTTTATGAGATAAGATACATCTCTTCACTCTTGGTTTGCTTGGTGGTTAAGTCTATTCTCTTCGGAAACTCACTGAGTGATTTCAGGGCAGGCAAACACACAGACCAACCTACTTTGTTGGGAAAAATGAACAACTTTGAACTCTTCGGAGCAGGGGTCTCCAACCTTTTTGGATTGGTGGGAGAGGGAGGGGCAGGCACCTTACGCACACATGCGCAAACTTCAATGTGGCCACATGTTCGCACGTGCATACAAAGAGGTTGCCAGCATGTGCACCATGCAAACGGGGCTGCAAGAAAGTGTGCGAGGCTCTCAGCAACGGCAGCGCCTGTGTGAGGCTTGTACCTGCACCACCAGGCTCGTGGCAATGCTACCACCAGCGGGGAGGATTGTGTTGTCTGCAGCAATGCCGCCCCGTCGTGAGGTTTGCACCACTGCCCCATGTGAGGATTGTGCCGCGGTCTGCAAGCGATGCCACCCCGATGCAAGGATTGTGCTGTCCCCCCCGCACGAGGATCACGCTGCAGCCCACCTGCCGCTCCCACACAGATTTTATGGCAATGCCACCTGCGTGTGGCTCGCTGCCGCCCACCTGCCGCTTGCAGTGCTGCCACCCCACACAAGGTTAGGGGCAACACCGCCGCCTGCATACTAGCGGCACTGCCACCGCCTGCACAACACTCGCATCAATGGTGGAATGAGGGAGGGTGAGCACGCGCACACCCGCGTGCACTGCCCAGCTATTCACGCGGCCCGGCAGCCAAGAGGCCAGGGCCCATAGATTGGGGACCTCTGCTTTGGGGAACATGGCTATAAATCAAATAAAATGAGTTACAATGTTTCCCCTCCCCCCCAAAAAAACCCAACCACCCAACCCCAGCCAGTTTTGTTTGTAACACTACATTTTTAGTATTGGTTTGATTTTTTTTTTTAAAGGAAGAGTATAAACTGACAGCTAGTATTCCCCTATTTTCTAAGAGAATGAGTAAATTTTTTGGAAAACTGAAGATTTCTAAAGATTTCCTATCAAATGGATGAGTCATGGTATAATAGATGAACTTTCTTACCAATATCAATATTCTCTCTTCCAAGGGACACCAGGGACAGGAAAAGGATTTCTCTGTAAAAACTCCTATAAAAGATGCATAGACATGTAGACAAGTTCAACCCCTTCTTACAAGGCTAACCTATAGGAAGGAATTTAAGTTAACTTTCATGTGAATTTCATTAATCAAATAGTCTCTAGCTTTTTTTCAGTAAGAATATTCACATCAATGTGAACCTAATTTTAGAGTTAGCATGCAAAAATCCTCTGAGCTCTGTGAAAGTATCCAAATATTAGTGTTAAGTATCAGTTTGAACTGTTCTTCCTTATTTACTGGCAGAATTCTTTAATGTCTATAATTGATTCCTTTGTTTCCAGTTGTAGATTTAGAGCATAAACTTTACAGTCCCTACACACTAATACTTACATATTCCAAGAGGATAGGACCAAGGAAAAAAAGAATTTAAAATTAATCCCCCACAAAATAAGATTTTCAAGTAATAAAATTGACCTTTCTCATGACTGCTTCATGCACAAAACACATATATTATTTTTCTCTGTCCTTCCAATGGATACAAATGAGGGGAAAAAAACAGGACTGAAATGGAATATATAGAGAACAGGGAGCAAAACCAGATGTACAGATGACGCAAGAGAAAAGGTACTGTACGAGTGTTCCAAAAAGGGTTAAAACAAGAGGCCAACAGGCCATTCCCAGCATAAGTAACTGTTCAAGGCATCTTGATTATGGATGCTACAGTTATATGCATGTCCACTAATTGTACTTCTTTGCAACAGCTTTTCAAAAAGCTGTTCTTGCCTTTTCAGGTGTTATACACCACCTTCACCTATTATAGATTATTTGGGGGAAAGACCTACTTCAAATAAATGCTATTTGCACAGGCTAATTTGCTGTCTCTGGTCATCTTTACCCCATACCAAGGAAAGCATATCGCATACCACCTAATGTGGGGGGGGGGAGGGAATAAGGACCCCAATGGACACCTGAATGCTAAACCTACTCCTAGGGATGCATGGAACCTTTCAAAGAGTTAGCATTCATTTCCAAGTTGTGATCCCCTTTACCTTTGCCGTTTCTCATCCCGCTTAACTCTCTGCACAAGGAAATTAATAGGTTTAACGACATCGTTGTGCTGAATGCTCAGTTTGATACTTTCGACTAAAGTGCTTGTTGCTTGTTGCTCTTCGGAATTGACTGAGGGCTTCTTTTCTGCAGAATCTAGAAGAAGGGGAAAATAAAGCATTTTTAAAAAAAGTCGTGCAACCTAAGAAAACGTTACACAACAAAGACATGGAAAAAAAGATAAAGACAGAAGCGGCAGAAATGAGAGATCTGAGATGAAGGACAGAAGAAAAAATGGGCAAGGAGAAAAAGAGGAAAAACTAGAAGCAGCTTTGGCAACTGGACGAGTAAAGATGATTTGACATGTAGTACTCAATTCCCAGAACTAGATAGATTATGTATGATAATAGTCAAAGGCCTATGGCCTATGCAGCATTTTAAAGCTTTGCACAATACTTGATGAATGTTGCATTCTGCTAGAAGTCAAATCCATGAGGGTGATGTCCATTGCATTTTTACCGCAGAGCAAAATAAGGATTTGCTTTCTAGGTGCTGCAGCAGCAACAGCAGTACAGATTTTTATCAAAACATGCACATAGTAAAAAAAATTCAATTCAAAGAACTATACAATAAAATCAAAGATGCCTATAGTTTAGTCTTAAGTTTTACAAAATAATGGTAACAGTAAGAAAATCTTATTTATACGGAAAAACTTTCTGTGGAGAACTAAGTTCGTATGGCATCAAATCCTGTTGCATTTATTGAAGTGGGAGCTGTTATGACTGTACTGGCCAAATTTTGATCAGGATATTTATGATTCTTTCCCTGAGATTTCATCTCAATTCTGAAAAAAATGTACTTTTTTTTTTGAAAAGTTAAATGTTGAGCTATACAGTGTCGACATCATATTTGGAAAAGTCTAACACTGGAGAACTGAAAATGTTCTCTGCTCATAAAAAAAGCTTTGTCCATCTACTAATTTATGAGTGTTTTTTTAGGACATAAAATTAAACCTAGACATTTTGAATAAAATATCTCTGAGGGAGATGGACAACTAAGAAAATAGATAGATAGATGATAGATAGATAGATAGACAGACAGACAGACAGACAGACAGACAGACAGACAGACAGACAGACAGACAGACAGACAGATAGATAGATAGATAGATAGATTTGGTCATTTGGAAAAATTGGCCTCAGATATGCATAAGTAAATGATTATTTCAGAATTTTTAACAACAGCAAAGATTTTTGTTTGGATAAAATTCTCACAAACATTTTACTCACTGAGATTTCTCCAAGATACATATAGTGGGTCCCCACGTTCTTGGTGAAGATTGATGTTGTCCCATAGTAGCTGTATGTACACTAGCTTGCTGTCTTGAGACAAGTTGGTCAGAGGAAGCTAGAATGGAGGAAACATACTTTCTTATCACTTTACTACAGATTGAGAATCCTGCCAGCGTCAAAAACAGCGCCAAAATTCTGCAGCGCCAAAAACACAATGCTAATTTCATTATTCTTCTACAAAAAGGGAACAGATTCCTCAAACAGCTTGTATCGTCCAATTTAAATCAAGCCAAATTAAGGAACAGGAAAAGATTTGTATCAATCTACTGCAAATGAAGGACTCTTTATAAAGCAGGTGGGGAAAGAGCATTTCCTTAGACATACTTTCATAGAGAACAATGTCATAGAGTAAGAAGCCACACCCTATATAACTGTACTATTAACCTTAAAGGTTAAATAATTAGTTAAAGCTGCTTTAATGCATTTTGCTTTTGCTTTGTTCTTATTTTATCTTACTTAGTTTTATAAGTAACTGAGGTGGCAAAAATTTATTTATTAGGTTTTTATGTCGGTTTTATTACTTTATAAGCAACTTTATAAGCAAACATATCTAATGCTCCTTCTTATTTCTATTTTTCCCACAACAGTCCTGTGAAGCAAGTTAAGCTGAGAGACAGTGACTGGCCCAAAGTTATACAGCTAGCTTTCATGTCTGAAGTGAAAGAACTCACAGTCTCCTGATTGCCTCAATCACTAAAACGAATTGGCACTCCAGTGAGAGCATGGTTAATCCATATCTTCTAAACTTACCCTTAAGCAAATCTTAAAAGGACTAAGGTGTTCTCTCAATATTACTGTTCTCTCTCACTTTGATTTAAGTTTAAGAATCCCAGTCCAGAGTTAACTAATTTTCAGTGCACAAGAAGAAAATATAAAGGTTCCTTTCACTTTATTTCCCCCCCCCCCCCATTGAAACCAATGGGGAAAAACCTTAATTTTGACCTTTCCATCAATATTTTGAATGGAAAAAGAACATAATGAATCATTTGTTCTGGACAGTCCACTTCTGTAAACATATAAGCCTCTCCCGCAACCCTTGGACTGGATTGCCCTCATGCAGCATTTCACAATTTCAGCAAGTTAAAAATGTATGGCATGCTGGCTGGGGAATTCTGGGAGTTGTCTGCACATCTTAAATTTGCTGAAGTTGAGAAACACTGCTCTAGGGTTATTGAGTAGAGTCATTCTTTTCTCAAGGTCATTTCATTTCAGTCAGTGGCATCTCTTAAAATTCATCCCATCAACATATTTGACTCTGAAGTGCAAACGCTTCTCCTGATATATTCATTCAATACTGTCAGTATAGGGCAGTGTTTCTCAACCTTGACAATTTTAAGGCATGTGGACTTCAACTCCCAGAATTCCACAGCCGGCAATGCTGGCTGTGGAATTCTGGGAGTTGAAGTCCACATGCCTTAAAATTGTCAAGGTTGAGAAACATTGGTATAGGGGGTTATTTCCAGAATGAACAAAGAGGAAAGTAATCATTTTAGTTGTTTCTCTTACAAAGAACATGGCTTTCCTCCAAATGTTAACAGTCTGTGTTTGCTTGTGGTGCCAAAGCATCACCTTACCTGCATTCCATCATTGCAGTGTTCAGACGTTAGAATGAGACCGGGCAAGTTACTTGGGAGATCCAGGCGTCGGAAATACCAAACCAAATTCCAGAAAATAATGGGATGCTGATTGATGAATGTTGACGTGTGAATTACTTGTTCTCCTTCGTTCTCCAACAAAGATTCAAGCTCTTTCCGGAGAACCAATGGGCTCAAATAGGGAACAGATACAGGCAAAGGATTTGTCCTTTTTGCTAAGGGATCCTAAAAAAAGCATCAATGACCATTAGTGAGCAAACAATGCTTCATCAATTCTCCCAGCTTTTCTCCCTAACAAAGAATCTCAATAAACCTCTGAGCTGCATTAACAGGGATGGCATACGTACACTATTGTAAACATATACATGTCACTATCTTACCCAGTGAGTTATAATACAGAAACAATTTGAGAGACGAGAGAGCTCTGCTTTCCAAAATGAATCATATACAAAATCTATGGAAGCTGCACTATAACTCAGGCAGAATAAACAATAGGAAAAAATAGAAAGGTGTCTGAATATCTAGTTCCTGAACATATTACCAGGAAAACCTTGGTTACTTACCACTGTCTCTTGTAAGCTATTAGGGAGGCTAACGGTTGAAATGCCATGAGATGGTCTTTGCAGAAGATCAATATTTTGCAACGGGCCACCAACACTGTGACTCCGAGTTAGAGAAGTCCCGCGTTTTGATGAGTTATTTGTAACAGGAGGCTTTATGCGTTTGAGATTTTTGTCTTCTTCCTCTGCTGTGCTGAGGCCGAAACACAATGCAAACACTCATGAGTATTAAAGCTAGCAGAATTACCACAAAATATTTCAATGGGCTCCTGGTTCAGCAGTCCGGCCGATCAACCGTGCCTTCTTCCAAGCATTTCTTACTCTGAAATATGCGCAGGGAGGCGAGAGGTATGTGCTGCAGCATTCTGCAAGGGCTTTCTTCCCCTTCCAAAAACTTTATATTTTTACAAATCTAATTGTACTAATTCCTTGTAGGTTTCTTAGTACTATTTTGACTGCAATACTAGCAGCACTCACTAGCAGCATCCACTATTCACAAGAATGCCTACTGTATTTAATGCACAAAGTGCTTTAAAAAAATTGTGGCTACGGTAACTAAGAGCATTATTACATATTTTATATTATGTGATGAGTGAATCAGATGAACGCTTCATCCTTCCCCAGACCAACACTTTACTGGGTCTTGGCATTTCATTCCCAAATAAGGCCTTTTCTACAAAATGGGGAACGTGATGCCAGTCCAGAGTCTATTTTTAAAAGAAATCTGATTTTCAAGTGAAGCAATAAATTCCTCCCAAGCATAATCCTGCAAGAAAATCTCATTTTCTTCCGGTCTGTACCTTTGTGTTGCCGGGCTGCTATTTTCCTCACTGATGGTCTGGTTGGCACTTGAAGGTTCTGAAAAACTGATCAGATCTGTAGTAGGGACGGAGGCAGACTTCGGTTCCAGAGAATCCGTGGTTAGTGGAATGTTAGTGCTGTGTAAACTATCACCAGAGGTACTTGGTTTCAAAAGCAAACTGGTAAGGAAAGAAGCAGGCAGGAAATACACAATCACAAACAAGAAAGGAATGTCATCAACATAATTTTGTCCTTTGTAACACAGGGAGTTCTTGACTTATGGCCCACAATTCAGCCCAACATTTATGTTGTCAAGCACGACATTTGTTAAATGAGTTTTGCCCCACATTCTACGACCTTTCTTGTCACAGTTATGAAGTGAATCACTGGAGTTGTTAAATTAGTAACCAAATTGTTAAGTGAATCTGGCTTCCCCATTGACTTTGCTTGTCAGAAGGTTGCAAAAGGGGATCACAGGACCACAGGAGACTGCAACGGTCATAAATAGGCAGTTGCCAAGGATCTGAATTTTGATCACACTACCACGGGGATGCTAGAAGGGGCGTAAGTGTAAAAAATGGTCATAAGTCACTTTTTAGTGCCATTTTAACTTTGAACAGTCACTAAATGAACTTTGTAAGTTGAGGACTACCTGTACTTCCAGCTATTCCAAATTTATCATGAATATCGATTGTTTTTAATTCCTACTGTTAAGTTTTAAGACTAAAGGACTCAATCTGCATTCCACTCTGGTTAAAAATGAGATTTATAGACCAATTTGCCAATGGACATCATAACACATGAACACGTTAAACGGAAGAGAAAACTAAAACGGCTTCATCCTGCAAACAGAAACTTATCCATATCCAACATGTGATTCAGGACAATTTAACCGGCATATCAACTGTTTGTTCAGATACTACCAAGTTCGCTATCATTTGTAAAGGATGAATTACGAAGGTATGACCATTTAGCGGCAAAGTCTACCAACCTTGCAAGACCACGTAAGTCTTTAAATTCCACATTAAGGAGAGGTAAAAAGGCACTTTTGCAAAATGGACATGTAGAATTCAAATTAGAATCATCTGCAGTCCATCCTGCCATAATTTCTTCATCATAAACCAAGGCATCACAGGCTCGACACTGAGAGCAGCTCGACATTAAGACCTATTTAAAAAAAACAACACAATATTTTCTTTATAAAGACATGAAAATAAACAGGTATTCAAAACTCCAAGTTGTTTTGTTCATCAAAAACCTGCAAAAAGATTCATATTTAACCGGCCTGTCTAGTTTAGCACACTATTTCCACCATGGCTAGCCAGTTTCTTCTGGAAAGATCTCACATGTCTTATGGATACTATAGCACCTTCCTGGAGGAGTGGGTCTTTTAAATCTTTTTCTACTTCACATACTTCAACAGGCAATTAATGTTTTACCATTTGCATACTATACAGTAGTGGCCAAAATTGTGGAAGACTTTTGGGAAAAGTGTACAGTAGAAATGCCACCTTTGGTTAAGTTTCCACCGATTTTTCTTCTAATTTCTTTATAACTGTAGCCTTGTTCACGTAATAATACTATTTTACATCGCTTTCTGGGCGACCAGTCAACTCTTTGCACCATTACTTTAATTTTATTACATTTTACAAGCTCACTAAATGAAAGAAAAAAAAAACCCAACCAACTTGATAGCGATCACATAACACACTGACAAATGTCCTCCTCTCAGCTTCAATACATGACATCAATAACTGAATCCTACTGTGATCTGATTGGCTCATTGCCAAAACAAGATGACACCTGATTGGCTCTCTAAACACTCATGTTCATTGGCTACAATCAGATGAAGGAAAGCTACCTGATATCAACCTAGGCAAGTTGTGCTTCCTTTTTCTGGTTATTTGGCTATAACTTTTCATAGAACACAGTACAAGATAATTGAACAAACTTTGTTGTATTACATTCTTGATTAAATTATCTTTCCATTGATATATAATTTTATGTTACTACTCCCCCCCAAAAAGTGGTGTTATTAGCCATCAAACCTCAAAAATACACTTTTCCCAAAAGGTTTCCACAATTTTGACCACTACTGTACATATTTGACTCAATCTTTCTCACCTTTGGGCACCAGAGATGTGTAAGACTGCAACTCCCTATCAAAACCTAATCATGACATGTTAAAGCGATGTATGTATAAATAGCAAATACAGACAGTGTATGTGGAGCAGTGGATTGAATGCAAATAATATATGTAAAGGCACAGGTACTTTTAAAAATTATTTAAGTAATAATTCATTTCAAAAACACTACTCTCCAAAGGAAACAGAAATGTTTTAAGATGTATTATTTTTAAAATGTTCTGAAAGAAAATTAATTTTGCATAGGATAAAGCAAAATTTTTACTCAAGATTATAAATTTTACCTCCATTGCACAATTTTGGAAGATACTGGATAGACTAGTATTGTACGAAGAGCCATGTTCAGATTTATCAGAATCCAAAGTTTTCACGCCTCGTGAAAATTGATTTTCCCCTGTGTAAAGTAATGTGGAACAATTTAAAAATTATTAAATTACTTATAAAAAGATAGGGGGGGGGGGAGACATAATTGCTACATTTAACCACAACTCTTATTACTCCATTAAGCAATCAATTCCCATTCGATTCTGAGAAGTTGCTTTTTAAAAATCAAACCTAAAGAATTACTGGGGGGGGGGAATTCTATACTCTCCCAGTGATATGGATTCATAATTATTTTCCATCACACGAAACTGAATTTTTTTTAAATACCGATGCCACTTCAAATTGGACATATTTTTGCCCATTTCACTCCATGTCCCTGTGCTGTACTTTTCACTAATCAACAAGCCAGAATTCATATGGAAAATGGCTGTAAGGCATATTTTGGAGAGTTTTAGAAATTGTGAACACTCCTATATGAACGACTACCAAGTAACACATGCTGCTTTTTCAAGTTGAGAATCCACTGAATAAAAAAGCAACCTTGATGTAACATATCCATTGGCAATCTATAGTGATTAGCCCCCTTTAGTAGAACTTGAATTTTCAAAATGGACAGGATGAAAGAACAATTATGCAATTAGTTGTTTGGGGAGAAAGGAAAAGGAAAAGTTCTATTTACTAAGTAGCAAATAAGCTTCTTTCAATATGTTTTTCTCCCAGACCATGTTTCCCAAAGGCAGAATGTCCCAGTTAATATAAGAAATCCTGGGTATTTCCAGGCAACAGTTTTTAAAATGTTGGACAAACCATTCTACTCAGAAGGAGAAAAACACAGCCAGCCATCTGCTGGGGATATACTAATTTCTGCATGGAGAAGGATAGACTTGATGAGCAATTCAAAGTTTATGGTACCTGTAGGACAATGTGGCTTCCCTACGTCTCCACTGCTGTTGCTGCTTCCAAGACTTGTTGTGCTCTGTGCAAGTTCACTGGTAGCCAGTCCTGGGATTCCTATTTTTGGCGACTGACAGACGCCTAATATATGATCTTCAAAGCCAGCAGGAAAGGTAAAATCAGGATGGGGGGTTTCCTCCTTCGTTTAAAAGGTAAAAGACAAATTCAGAATCTTACACTCATGTAAAATGTTCACTATTTAGTTATTATTATTATTATTGAAAATGCAAGTGCACCAGCCCTGACATTTCAAAAATGGGTGCGGTTTGCCTTCTTGTTTAATGTGTTTGCAATGAACCTATCAAGAGACAAAGAATAACTGGTTGAAGAAACTTCTGAAATAGATTAAGAGGGGAAATTAAAAAGCCTGAGGGAAGAAACTAATAAAACATATCTTTGGTAGAAAAGGAACAGAATAATATTTAATGCTTTTCAGGCCACTGGGATTATTGGATGATTTCACAGTGTATTGGAGGTAAAAAAAAATCTTCCCCAAGTAACAATGATGATGTAAATATTTTGTAGAAAAACTAGTGCTACAAATATGATGAAAGAGACAGTTAAGTACTTCACATAGATAAGTATTTCTAACTAGTCTTCCTTTTTTGCAGAGAATACCATCTTAAATTCAAAGTGGTTTTCCTTTTTATATAATCCTGATAATAAAAAAATGGCATGGGACCTCACATGAGAAAACAAAGATTATATGAATTTTAGTCATTTTATTGTTCAAAAGTAAAGATTAGTAGACGCTACCTAGTTATGTTGCAAATACTGCTATCATTTACCCCTGGAATGGAAGTTATAGCCAGGACTCATAGAAAAACTTCACGGGTTTGAAGGGCAACCCTGCTTTTCAAATTCCTCAGAGTTTCAAAATAAAATTAACCTAGGAAGTTTCAGGCAAATGAAGAGAAAATTCCAAGGCAACATGAAAGCTTCAACAGGGCTGATGCAGCCTGCAAACTGCCTATTATCTGCCTTAAGAAAACACAGATTACAACTGGAAATCAAAATGCATGCTTCAGATAAGAAGAGTATAACCAAATTGTGTTCTGTGTTACAGTGTTATGGACGATGTGGGTGAAATTCAACTATATCAATTTGATTAACACTGTTTTGCTGGAATGAATTGCCCCTCCTTTTTGCAATCCAAATAAATGTGATTCAAAAGTTTGTACCCAAACATTTGTGGCACCTTCAAAAACATTGTCAGAGTAAAGGGAAATAATTTATATAAGTAAGACCTCAGTTATCTCTGCCATTATTAAGATAAAGTCTACTGAGTGAAGATTACTTGAGACAGCTGAGCTATCTAACCATTTACATCGGTGGATTAAAAAGAAAGAGGAAAAAACACGCAACATTTACCTCATCATCTGAATAACTATACGCTGATGACACTGCTCCCCACATCTTGCTTGCTACATTAGCTGCTTGTTTCATGCCAGATTTCAAGACCTCTATTTTAGGTCCAGATAATATGTGGTCTAGCTTCAGCCCCGACAGAGAGGTGACAACTGCGCCCAGTGAAGCCTGAGGAGAAGAACGACCCAACCCTGTTAAAGATATTGACCGTTCTTTTTGAGCGCGTGAAAGAGCCAGTTGCTTTGGTCTTCCAGTAAAGGTTTTGGACCTGGAAACAGATGGACTTTTATGATTAATATTTTGAATCTGTGGTGGTGGTGGTAGTGGTGGTGGAATGGAATCCAAGCTTGATCTTCTCTCTAAACTGGGCTCTGATGAAGTAGGGGAATCCACATCCCGACTGCTCTCTTTCCGGTGTAATTCCATGCTGGAAGATTTGCTGCCCAAGGGACTTTTTAGATTCATGTAGCTTTCAATCTCCTCAGCCAGATTGCGTGCTACAACCGGCGACACGACCTTTTCTTCTGGCTCAGCAGGTTTGGTGGCTTTTGTTTCCGTGGCCAGCAAAGATAAAGGATCCAAACCCATTTGAACGTCTTCCCTTTCAATGGGTTTGGCTACACCATAAAAACTACTCCTTTTGTTTGCCGTCTCTTTGGGTTCTACTTGCTCAGTTTTAGACTGAACTGCATCAGGGGACCTGGGGCTAGTATACTCTGATTTGACCATGCTGTCACTAAGTCCATTTTTCATCTGATCTTCAGGTTCTTCCACAACAGGTGAAGACCTAGCCCCTATTTCCCATGTATTTTCTTCTGCATGACTTCTGTCACTTTCTGACCCACAGAAGAACTGTATGCCACTGGCATCATCAGAAGTATGGGATTTACTCATGTGGGGTGGAGAGGTTTTGACCACAGCTAGAGCGGCGGTGAGGATCTTTGCATCTGCTCCCATCATTATTGCAAGATCACTGGAGTTGGAATCTAAGCTGTTCTTCTTCAGCAACATGTCTGCTCTGCTTTCAGTACTGAAACTGCAACTCCTTTCAGAAAAATGTTTTTGCCTCTTCTTCCCTTTTTCACTTGCTCTTTTGGGAGAACTATTACAATTAAACACAGAATCTTCAATAGAGTCCTGAACGATGAACAGTGGAGAGGATGCAGTTCCTTAAACAAAAAAACATACAGGTCAGTGTTAAAATAATAGCTCACATGAAGCACATTTAAAAAAAAAAAATCTATTAGAGAAAACATGGAAAAGGGATGCCTCGGCAACAAAAATCAGCATACAGAAATGTTGTGCTACATCCTTAGTTGTATTCAATATAGGCTTTAAAATTTAAAAATTTAGAGTCGTCCACCCTGAAAGAATTCTGATATCTGAGACTAACTCATTTTAAGTGACTATTGAAAATTTGCTTCTTCTTTTAGAAATTTCCAAGGTAATAGATCATTTCAATCAATCGGTCATGCTTTTCTTAGTTACACTCTGTAAGAGAATGGTAGCAAAATATGTGGAAAAAAGGACAAGATTCTGCCTGTCTACCCACTGGCAGGATAACTCTCTGAAAACCGAACAGAATGAAAGGAAATTTGGTAATCTGACCAAAACAAAAAATAAAAAAAACAGACAACAGAATCTGGCTAGAGCTTGTAGAGAAAAAAAAATTCCAGGAAAAACCCCCGGCAATTTATTATCCAGGGAGAGGCAACTGAGTAATGGTTTGGAATACTACCAAGTCCTCTTTGTTATATGACCCAAAATGAAAGTTATGCAGCCTGCTCTGTGCTTTCCAGGGCATAAATACTCAGAAATGTACACAGATATGTCATAAGCAGAACAAAACCAGAATCACAGACATAGCAAAAGGGACTACTCTAATTAGACTATTTCATCTGTGCACAAATACATACAGAGCCTATACATGTGATCTAATCAGGGAAGAGGCATGTTTTGTTTCTCTGTGTATATACAGTATGTGAACACACGGTGGAGGATGTGATCATATGGAGAAACAAAACATGCGTCTTCTCTGATTAGACCCTTACAGCTACACAACCAATACTTAATCACACACCACGCTTAGTCCCTGGGGAGAAAGTGCATATGCACATAGATGCTACACATAACTTCATTACACAAAAGAAAACAGAAATGCCTCCTATAACGCAACAATTCATGACTACAAGCAAACACTGAACATGCCCTGTCGTTATGAAACTGAAAATGATCATTCTTGATTTTCTTTAAAAAGTGTTATTTTTATAAATCTTGGTCATGAAGTCAACCAAAAAGGTGGTCATGAAGTCAACCAGCAAGGAGAAGACACAAGGATTATTTCCAAACATTAATTATTAAGATCATCTCCTATCCTGGTAATTGTGTGCCCCCTCCTTGGAAACAGTATGGATATGGTTTGCCATTTCCTTCTTCCAAGACATTTTTCAACCTTACAAACTAATCTGTAATTTGTAATCTCCCAGACCAAGCTGATTCTTATTAGCTTCACAGCTTAAACATGATTAACCAGCTGCTGCTGTTGCTAACCTCCATTGGGGAAATGGCATACAGACTGCTGGTTTTCTTAATCAGGACCTTTTTTTGATTAATATTAAGAATTAGCAAGGAACATTTGAAGAAGCTAAATCAAGTTTAATTTAATATTGATCTGTACTGCAGTAAGAGAAGACAAATAATTTTTTAAAAAAAATTAGAGGTTTTAACACATTTATCAAATGAGCCTCATTTAATTTTTATAATGTTTACAAAACTACTGGGAATCATATATTCCTGCAATTTAAACAGGGTAAATATATATATAAGGAGTGAGATTACAGTAAGAAAAGAGTCATCATCGTCATCATCATCTGTTAAATGAGTACCACAGTCCTTAGATTGGGTATTTTCCATTATATGGCTTCTAATCAAGAGCCTAAAAATCACAGACGTATCGCTGTGCTATATAGGACAGTGGTTCTCAACCTTTTCTTTGCCACATACCCCCTTTAAATACCTTTTGTGGCCATAGACCATGGCCATGGACTACCAAGACGTAACTCAAGATTTAAATCATAACATTATTTCAAACCCGTGACAATATCATGCCCCCCCCAGGTGTCCTTGGACCACAGACTGAGAACCACTGATGTAGGAAGTTCCAAGCAAGGTTGGGTGTTAATTATTCTTGAATGTTTTTCACATAACAAATTCATTTCTCTTGGGCAAGTCAAGCACAGCATAAATGATTTCCAATTTTATTTCTAACTAGCTGTACCTGGCCACGCATTGCTGTGGCTCAGTCTGGTTAAATGGAAAAGAAAGAAAAGAGAAAGCGCATGTTTGTAATATGTTTAATTTCACAATGCAGATGGCGCTGTTTTTCAAAAAAAGCATGTTTTTACCTGTCACAGATGTGACATCTATATAATAGTAGGTATATAAAAACACGTGCGTATTCGAATGCAATGTTGTGTCAAAATTTCAAAGCAATTGGTGAAGAACTTTCGGAGATTTAAGATTTTGAACAAACAAACATTTACATTTTTATTTATAGAGATAAACCAAATATATGAATTAGCTTACCACTGCTGCTTTTCCTGCCAGGACAAACAAACATACCAGAGGGAACCTTCACAATACTGCTTGTAGAATGCACAGGGATTTCCACGAGGCTTTGAGATTCTGTATTAGAGTGCTGTTTTTCTGCAGATTCATTGGTGCCAGAAAAATCTTCAGAAGACAGGAGGAAAACACAGAGAGAGTTGACTTCCTTACTAGTGAAAGTAGAGAAAAATGAATGCCATGTCTAATAGCAAGCACCTAACATTTCCCAAAACTTCCAGTCAGCATGTATTTTCCAATAAATCTGGAGAGGGTCTAAGTCGTGTTCCAAAAAGTGCAGCCAAGACAATCCTTTTTCAGCACATTTATTTGTATATGCAGCTTTATCCCTCCAATCAATAACAAGGCCATCCGTATTATAACAATGTATTTAAAATGGAGAACAAAATCTTGAGTAGGGGAAAAAAATTGTAGCAGAGAGAGAATTTCTTAAATGGTAGGCTTGGTAGATTATCCCCAAAAGTACTTTAAAAAGAAACAAATTTTATCTGTCTTTTTGGAACCTTTTAAAAGTTATTTTCAGTTGTAGTCTTCATCTATGGAATATTTTCTAAAGAATGTTCACCTCACCTTCTGTTCTGCTTAGTATCACTTTGATGATTATTTTTATTTTCCAAGCAATTTAAGAAACACGTGGTTATTTTAGGACTTGAAAGTTTGCTGTAGTTTATGTTTCCAACTTACAAAGCATATTTTAAAAGAAAAATTCTACCGTCCCTCTAACGCACCTCCAGTTAAGTCTTCTTTTGCAGCAAGATCTTTCTCCATAAGCACGTCTGTTGAACGAAGGTGGTCCCCGTCGTCCTTTATAAGTTCATCTTTAGACCCATAGCCTTGATCTGACTGGCCTCCTGTGGGGGGGGGGAGAGGAGACAAGACTTGTCCATTTGCTTTTCTCTCTCTGCCTCTCAGAACATCAATATTTAAATTGTGAGAAATGCGTATTGCAAAATTTTTATTTTAAAACAGAAAATAATTGATGAAGCGCATTTTGAAATTCAGTGAAGAAAGAACAGCAGCGGAGACGCGGTGAGAGAGGTATGTTTGAGATGTAACTTTTGCAGAGCGTATTATTGCTGGTTGAACATTAACAGAAGATAATGCAGGTAACCCACAACAGAAGAAATAAGAATCACGTTCGTTTCAGTTTGTTTCATCACTTACAATCAAATGACTCTCAGGGTTGACCAGATTTTTTTTTTTTTTTTTTAAAGGCTTAAAAATGTCCACGGTAGGAATAAACTCAGCATAAAATCAAAACAGTGCAATAGTTAACAGTAACTCGAGAATACAACAACTCAAAAAATAAAACAGAAATGGCCCAATATAATTAGGGTGTTCCAGAACAGTCCAAGGAGGACACCAGCCTGGTTTCCACAGGGAGGCTGTTCTACAGAACCAGCACCACTACGGCGAAGAAGCCTCAGAACCCTTTTATTTCCTCTAAGTCAGTGGTTCTCAACCTTTTTAATGCCGCGACCCCAACCGGTCGTAAGTCGAGGACTAAACCGGTCGTACGTCGAGGACTAAACCAGTCGTAAGTCGTGGACTAAACTGGTCGTAAGTCGAGGACTTTCCCTGCCCGGGAGCGCCACGCATGCGTGGTTCCGCCCCCTGCGCCGGCTGAGGCTAGCTGGCAAGCGGCAGAGATGGAGCAGGCCGACCACCAGCTGGCCCAGCCCAAGGGAGGTAAGGCACCCGCCGGAAAAGGGGGAAAAAATGGCGGACCAAATAAATGGCGGACCAAAAAAATGGCGGACAGCCTTGCTTGGCGACCCCCGTGAAATGGTCGAGCGACCCCAAATGGGGTCCCGACCCACAGGTTGAGAACCACTGCTCTAAGTGCCACTTACAGCGGTTTCTCCCTCTATGACCGAGGAAGCCAGGCCCACTCTGGTTGGAGTATGTGGTGCTATAGCAGGGCTAGGCAACCTTGGCTCTTTTATGACTCGTGGACTTCAACTCCCAGAATTCCTGAGCCAGCCATGCTGAGGGGAAAGGGAGAGGTTTCCAAGCTGAGCCATGCTGGCTCAGGAATTCTGGGAGTTGAAGTCCACAAGTCATAAAAGAGCCAAGGTTGCCTACCCCTGTGCTATAGGTGTCCAGACGCTAAAACATAAAGAGCTTTATAAGTCAAAATCAGCTCTTCAAATGGCACATATCAAGGACCCTATAATTCCCTTTGCCCCTCTTTCTTCTGAGGTAAAATGATTTCGTTGCTAGGGTTTATTTCTTTATATGCGTATCTAAGTTCATATCTCCCCTGTATTAATCTTGTCTAAACTCTACTAATCTGGTATAAGCCCTGCTCTCCTTGGCTACAGAATTTAGCTCTGTTTGTGCTACCTTCTATAACCTCAAGAGTGGTGCTTTTCTTATCTAATACAGTATAGCCCAGGGGTAGGCAACCTTGGCTCTTTTATGACTCGTGGACTTCAACTCCCAGAATTCCTGAGCCAGCATAGCTGGCTCAGGAATTCTGGGAGTTGAAGTCCTCGAGTCATAAAAGAGCCAAGGTTGCCTACCCCTGGTATAGCCTTTCCCAACCAAGTGGCTCCTAGATTAACTGTGACTATAACTCCCGTAAGTCACTGAGAATTCCAACATATTCAGAGGTTAAAAAAACAAATGCTGGGACTTACAGGCTGAAATTCTTACATAATCAGTTTGAAAAAAAACCCAGTGTTTTCCAAGTTTGGCAACTTTACAGGGTGGAATTTTAATTCCCAGAATTCCTCAGCCAGCATGCAAAGTTTAAAAAAACACTGTCCTAAATGGTGACAGGTTGTCTCTGTCGAGACTCTTCTAGTTATATCCATTTGATTATATGAATGTGGTCAGAAGTAAAAAAAAGGCTTGCAACTTGAACAACAGTCAAATCCTAGACTGAAGAAACACAACATCTTATTATTTAATAATAAATGGAAGGAGCAAAATTCCATCAATTAATGAAATCTGAAGTGTATGCTAGGTATGTGTTTCCAAAGTAACTTGCTATTACTTAAAATAGCATGTCAAAAAGTCAGCCACTGTTTTTATATTGATTTACGTTAATTCATGGGAAAATTACCTGCAAGGTTTAACATTCAACAGCAGAATTAATGCACATCTGCCTCCAAGGATTCGCACCACACAAGTCTGCACCCCACACCATGACAGCCAAGGACAAATGCAGCACCAAGAGACAGCACAGAGCAAGAAGCAGAGCAACAAGGATCAGAGAGAAGGAATATTTAGTTATCTACTACTAGACAAATACAAGAAGCCATCTACACAAAACAGAGAAAGACTAAAATTGTTTTAAAAAGAAGGAAGTCAGAAAGTTTAGTAGAGAAAATTGAGGAACGGGACAACTTTTAGACTTATATCTAAGAGCAGGAGTTTTAAAATAAGATTATCTTTGTTTCATTTAAAATATGTAACTTGCAGCTAAGCGAGAGTCGGGAAACTCTTTTCAGAAAGATTCAGCTATCTGCACTTAAAAATCATTTCCACATTTATCTTTAATGACCAAATTTGGGCTAAATAGGGAATGCTCCCTACCTAATGCAAGTTACTGTGAAATTTTCTGAAACGTAGCATTCCATGTTTAGTATGAACATATTCCTTTGCCCTCACTAAAATTTTACCCAAGTTCAAACGCATGTAGTTGGGATATAGAACAATCCCCAGGAATATATATATTAGAAACAAAGAGCACCAGTCGCAGCAAACTATCGGTGCCTCCTTCACTCAAACATATATTTCCTGGAATCACATAATTATATCAGGATTCAGTACACAATATGTCCTCCCATATATTCACTTGTGCTGAAAGGCCAAAGACGTTGTAGGCAGAATAAACATAAAAGTTCAAGTTGGTATATAATACCACAATTCTTTACACTGAACTAATATTATCCTTTTCCACCTTGCCTCTTCCTCTTCCCGCTGATTAGCTATTTCTCTCTTTAAAAGATAGAGACAGGAAAAAAGCTACCTACAACAGCTGCATAAACTAAGCATATACACACCCAACTTGTGATCTAAATAATAATAATAATAATAATAATAATAATAATAATAATAATAATAATAATAATAATAATAATAATAAAGTTGGAAGGGACCTTGGAGGTCATCTAGTCCAACCCCCTGCTCAGACAGGAAACCCTACACCATTTCGGACAAATAGCTGTCCAGTCTCTTCTTAAAAACCTCCAGTGTTGGAGCATTCACCGCTTCTGGAGGCAGGTTGTTCCACTGATTAATTGTTCTAACTGTCAGGAAGTTTCTCCTTAGTTCTAGGTTGTTTCTCTCCTTGATTAGTTTCCATCCGTTGCTTCTTATCCTGCCTTCAGGCGCTTTGGAGGATAGCTTGACTCCCTCTTCTTTGTGGCAGCCCCTGAGATATTGGAACATTGCTATCATGTCCCCCATGTGATTTGCTTCTCGATGAAGCAATTTGGACCCCGTTTTAGATTCTGCTATTCATGGGATTGGCATGGAACAGGGGAAAAAAAATCTTTTCCTCTCTCTATAACACACAATCTTTGTAACAGAAACAATATTAAGGTAGGCAGTGTATTAGAAAGACATTGCAAAGTTAGTGAACCCCAACAGATCTAATACCTGTGCTAGAGTGATTATCAATGGAATCAAGCCTGACTAAGTCTCTGACGAAGAGTGTGTGCTCCCCACTGTTAGCATCATTAGAACTATCCACACTACCATGGCTCACCGTGTCCCCATCACTTCCACCTGGGATCTTCCGTGAAGCTGAGGACAGCAACAATAATATATTAGTTAAAAAAAAACAAAAAAACGAGGAGCAGCAGTATGGTAATCTACACAGCATTACTGAAGGATTGACCCAAGACCTTTTTCGGCAAATGAAGACCAACCCACCCAAATCAATGTGTGTATCTCAGGCTGTTTTGGGGAATGCAAAGCACAAATTCTCACACACACACCTTCCTTTTAACGATATCTTAAAACTCCTGCTTCACAGTACAGCTATTTAAGACATAAACCCTTATAAAAACAGCACATAACCCCCCCACACACACATTGCAGTGCACCATTCGATACTCTGCGCTTGCATTTTAATTGTGCCCGTTTCCTCACATGCAAGCACATCACCCCATAATAAGAGTTTATCACTAATCTGAAGCAGCAGGATTTATATTTTATTTATGGCAGTTAAGGATTGTGACATTACCTGGTATTGCAACAACCTCTGAAGTATGTGTAGTCTTTTTGAGACATTGCCTTAATTGTGTCATACTGTGTACCACATTCCGCAATTTTGTCCAAAGAAATATACCGCTGCGATTACTGCTAGGCCAGGGATTCTCCAAAACTGCCTAGAGAGTAAAATTACTAAGAAAAATATTTCCAAAATAGTCAACATACATGATGACACCCTTATAATCCATTCCCTGCAATCTTAGTCAGATAGAATTATATCACTGTTATCCAACAATGATAAGGAAGGAAGTTATAAGATCTTCGTTATATATTATTTACTAATTTTCTGCTTACCTTATTGTAATAACCATAAGTAATTGCATTTGGTTCTATGCCAGAATTTTTCATCTCAAAGAGAATCCGCACAGCCAGGACGGGATGGCCCCAAAGTCCACAGAGCAACATTAAAACTCTATAACACACCTGATAAATATTGAAAAGAGTATAGATTTTATCAACAGTAAAGCATCAAGTGTGACTATCCTTACAATATAAGTCTCCCTTGGCACGTATCATCAGTCAGCAGAGGAATACTAGTTTAAAGCAAGAGATATTTACTACTGAATTAGAAAGCTGCCAACCTATTAAAATAATATCCCAAACACATACCATATATAACTTCTGGTCCAATTCTCTCAGCTGCTACCAAACTCAATAAACCACTGATACAGCAGGAAGGCAAAACTACCCATTTTTACCACAAGCCAATCCATAGAAAGCCAACCACACCAAATTGTCTAGCATTACAAAAAAAAATAAAAAATCCTTGCAATCTTTTCTTAGATTAAGTACTTAAAGGGTACTGTATTGCAGGTGTTACATTTTTGTGTCATTTTAATGCAGATAATTCCGATACGACAAGAAACTTGCTTAATCACATTTAATTTACCATCTCTTTTTCTCCAGGGTTCAAGAGGGCTGGGGGAAGGGGGGAAGAGATATTCTTTTAATTTTATTTCCACAATAGATAGGTTGGGCTGAGAGAAAGAGTAACTTGCCCATCCATGTGCCTTCCCATGACTGGGAGTGGATTAGCACCCTCCTGGATTTTAGTTCAATAATCTAACTGGTGTGCCTATGCTACATTGGCTATGGAGAAAGGCATTTTCATAAATATTTTAAGATCCTCTTCCAGGTTAGGGTTAGGAAGAAAGCCAGCATGTCCAGGCCAGATGGGACTGAATTGTGACTTAGCTGTTTTACTGCACGCCGGGGGGGGGGGGCAGGGGTGCAAATCTGAGGAATGTCCTAGGACCTAGGTGCTTGGACAAACTGGCAACTGCACACTGGGCTTCGTCTCCCTCTGAGAATTTATCTGAGTGTTCAGCTGGAAAAGAACAACCTAGCCCAGGGGTAGGCAACCTTGGGTCTTTTATGATTCATGGACTTCAACTCCCAGAATTCCTGAGCCAGCATAGCTGGCTCAGGAATTCTGGGAGTTGAAGTCCACAAGTCATAAAAGACCCAAAGGTTGCCTACCCGACCTAGCCAGTCTGTCTCTCTAAGATCTCCTGCAGGATCAATATCCAGGCAAGATCTCTCTTCTGCAGGATCAATATCCAGGGTTTTCCCACATTTCCACTCTGTTTTGCTCAAGACTCCCATTCCATCACACACTCCATTCCTGACCCTGTTGCAGCTGGACCGAGCTAGGTCTTCAGCACATCTGCCCAGCTCTTCATGAACCCAGAAGCCATGTGACAGACATACCCCTAAAAGGTTCCTGCCCTATCATTCTCTTTGCCTACAGATTCCCTGGCTCTGCTCACAATTCCTTGAATCTAATTCTTTAGCACAGCTGTCTATTTCTCTCCTCTCAATCTGTCACTCTGTGTGATTCCTTAACCCCCCTCATAGACTAGCTCTTTGCCTTTGCAGCTCTCCTCTAATTTGCTTGTAACTTCCTTCTAGGCCAGGGGTAGGCAACCTTGGCTCTTTTATGACTCGTGGTCTAGGCTAAGGCCAAATTTAAAGGAAAAGTTCTTGGCACAAAAGTGAAGGTGTCCAAACTCTGAAGATGTATTTGAGCTAAGAAATTGATTCTCCATTATAGTACAAGTGGAAGCAGAGACCAGTTTCTGACTAACTTTTTAAAATTTACGGAAGATTCAAGCAATTTCCTTTTTCTTCATCATATATAATAATGGTGCCATGTTTTAATCATTTATTTTCCAAAATGTCAGGTTCTTACCTACTAGTCTGCATTTTTAATAGAAGAAATGCATGGTAAAATTTCAGACACAACGAGCATTTGAATGTAAGATGGCGTAATCTCAAGTAATTATTAAATTTCTTACTTCCTAATAATCACAACCAGAAATTACAGGAGAGTTCGATTTCTGGATAATTAACAGTATAATGAAACTGATTTTATTAGTGAGAATATCTACAGCATGCTAAGAATATCTCCAAATGAAAGGAAGAAAAAGAATGGAGAGGCATCAGAAAATTGTTCTCTAATTTTAGATATAGTCTAGAAGAAAATAATAGGTATTTATGTTACAAGTAAAAAGACTTAATTCTGTTGGTAATTCCAGGAATGCACAGAAACCACGATGGGGTCATCTGGCATCAATTGCAGGTTGTTAACAAAATGTTTTCTTACTGCATTAAAATGAGCTGTAGCTTGCCTGTTTTACAAACTATATCAAGCTATCTTATTTAGAATTGATTGGAATTAAAAGTATATTACTGGAAATCCAAAGTTGCAGAACATTGCGGTTTCTTTGGAAAAACAGTAGGCCGGTATAGACTTTTTTTTGTTCAAGAACCTCTCTTGATCCCGGTGTGAATGTGCAACCAACCAGACAAAGGCTTAGCATGAACAAGTGTCTCCATTTTATCCACTATTCTTGCAGAAGTGTCTTCTACACATACACGTATGTGCATGTACACACATACACGTATGTGCATGTACACACAGACCAATCTTGAGAGACAAGGTGTTGGTTACCACGTTTAAAGCGCTCCATGGCATCGGACCTGGGTATCTTCGAGACCGTCTTCTGCCGCAGATTGCCTCCCATCGACCGGTACGCTCCCACAGAGCGGGCCTCCTCAGGGTGCCGTCGGCCAAACAGTGTCGGCTGGCGACCCCCAGGGGGAGGGCCTTCTCTGTGGGAGCTCCCACCCTGTGGNTAGGGGGGGATTTTATAGGGATTTTAAAGGGATTTTATAATATTAAACTTAATACAGGTTATTTAATATATATTTTAATTTGGCTTTTAGAGATATCTATTGTATTGTACTGTTTTTATTTACCTGTAAGCCGCCCTGAGTCCCTCGGGAGAAGGGCGGGGTATAAATGGGATTAAATAAATAAATAAATAAATAAATAGAGTTTCCAAAAAGATGTTTCATGGCTTTGCACCCTCAGATCAAAGGGTGTTGCAAAGCACCTTATCATACAATCGGCACTCAACCAGAAGACGGCAAATATCATAAACATTATTCCAAGACAAAAGATACATCTTTATCTTTTTATAGCACGGCAATCTTCTTAACTTACTTCATCTAGTGGTTCCACGTCTGTTTTTTTCATTTTAATGAGAACATCATATGCTTGCTGCAGGGCTCTGACTTTGGGATGAGAAACTCTAACGTAGGCTGGGAGACAAATAAACCATAAGCTGTAACAATGACTGAAAAGGAATTTGGCCCACTGTGGGGAGTTTGTGTAGCATCTCTTGGCGAGTTTATGGGCTGCTTTTATCTCCTGCAAAACAAAAGAGTAAAAATAGACACATATTAAAAGGAATCTAAGGAGTGCCGGATAACGTGCTCTTTTAACAGCATGAAATGTGGAAAAGAAGAATGTGCACTTCTGCTGGTTATATCATTTTTTTTCCAAAGTTATTTCAATTCTGAATGTATCTTAAAAATAAAAATAACCTGCTTAGTTCTCTTTGCCATGAGCGCTGGACTGTTTGAAATGTTGCTTTTAGCTGGGTGCCTCTTAAATGAAAGTTTGAGATCTTGTGGTCTGTCAAAGAGCTTAAGCTCTAACTTAGGGAAGGTCTCGTAACTGGAAAAGAAAATCAAAATGGTATTAACACTGTCTTCCATCCATAATAAGACAATAAAATGAATAAAATAAAATAAAATTTGAACCACCCCAATTCAAGAGGAAAATCTTTTTTCAGTGTTTGGAGTTAAAAGAGTTTTCAACTCAAAAACAGAGGTATTTCAAACCGAAAGACTTCTAAAATAACCAAAAGCAGATTCTCAATGGAAACAGAGCATTTCAAATTTTAAATAATTCAAATTCCACATATTTGGCACACCCCTGCTGAACACGATGGCTAAAAAAAATTATTCTCTAAATTTCAATATTTAGAAGAAACTAAAATTCAAAGTAACAGTAATTTTAGTAAGATGAACATTCAGTATACTGGACATTCTTGATAAAGATCCCTGTCTGATCTTTTGATCGCCAGATATGAGAGGAACCACATTTTCCAAGATTCCTACCTACCATGGCCACCTCCTGAACCCATCTGAAAGAACACTAAATTAGGAAAGGCTGGATGGAAATAAAGAGAAGTCTATCCAAATGCCATTAAGGGAATACCTATACATTGGTAGTCTTTCCTGTCCATCGTCTGGGGGTGGTGGCTCCGGTGGCATTATAAATACTGTATGTTCACTCTTCTGAGACTCATCAAATTCAATTAACCGAATATCCTCTGCAGAGTCTACATCAACCTGCAAATACGTCACACTTTAGTATTACAATGCTATTTCAAAGCCTCAAGGATGCAACTGTTAAGCACAGAGTGTGATGTAGAAGAAAAGGTAGAAGAAGCTATGACTATGTACACATCTTGCAGCTGTCTGCCACTAGCACGGCGAGAAGATCCACAAAACACTAATATAGCAGCTATTCAATTTTCAATTAGCACATCTAGAAAAAACATATCTTAAAATTCCCAGACAACTACTTGATCAATCACATCTTCCATTTCCATTTTATGACCACACATGCTTAATTATCAGCAAAGTCTTGTCCCATGAGAAGTAAATAAATACCTTATCTCCTTTTTCTGATCCTTTCTCAGGAAAAAGCTAAAATAAATATTAGAAATAAATGCTTAATTTTTGTGAATAAGCACAATGTTTTGCTATTATGTATAGTGTAAACTTTTAAATTCTCTTGCCTAATAGAAGCCCTGAACAAATCTAATGTGGATAACATGAGAACATTTCCAGGATAAAACACAATAGGCAGTTAACATAAAAACTCAATTGCATGGCACTTAAAAGAGTTAAAATGTTGCTTCCCCAAAATAGTCATGCACTAAATTTAAAGTGAAATGATATATTTACCCAATAAATATCTTTACCTTTTCTACACAGTCATCAAAAAATGCTAATCCTGTATCTTTGTCACTCACAAAACTGCATTCTTCAATGAAGCGGCTAAAAATCTGTGTCTTTGTTAAAGCTGTGTAGAATTTTGTGTAGGCACGGTCTCTACTTTTTAAAAATCCTAGTATATATAAAGGAAGAAAAGAAAATAGCTAGACATTTTTGTTACAGTGCCTTACAATTATCTCATTTTTTCTGTTTGTTCACCTCCTGTAAACAAGACCCTACACAAATTGCTTTCAGCATGTATCCTGCTCTTATGATACAACAACCAGAGTCACTATCTTAAATAACATAAACATTTTGACATAATAGTTTTTAAAAAGTTCAGCTCCAGAGTTTTCAAACACAATGTATCTTTAGTGTCTGTGTGTCCTGTTATTGATAGCTTTGGAACGTGATCCACTTGGAAAATCTGGAGCTCTAAAAGCTCTACAGAATTGGGAGATTATGCGTCCTTCTTCTGAACTCCAGCTGACGGGATCACTTCACATGACTCTTTAAAGAGCAAATCTAATCCCACCTTCTATAATATGTAATTTAGCATTTTAAACAAGCAAAGACAATCCTATAGCTCTTAACGTTTTGTGCTCAATTTACAAGATAAGAACAGATGACAGAGAGGGAGTCATCTGCCAGTGTTCACAGGTTCCCCCATTCTCCAGTTGTGTCTGCCCATCACAACAAAATTGGACTGTGGATGTACTTTGGATTCACTCTACCAAACAAAATCATCCAATGGCACTGAGGAGGTGCGCCTTCTCTGTTGCACTGCCTGCCCTGAATGCCAGCAAAGCTCGTACTCTATTCTATTCTAGTCTTTATTCTATTGCATACAAAGAAGAAACTGAGAAGACTAGTATTTGTTAAATTTGAAATGCGACCCGTATTTTATTTGAACACTGCCATATATTTCCATTTATCTCCCAATCTCACCTTGAAGGTCAAACAGGGAATCCACAGCAGTAGTTTTATTTGAAGGTGCTTGCGTGATTGGCTTAAGAAAAATTCTATACCCTTTTAAAATATAGGCCATAAAACGCAGGAAGGCTTCCTGAATCTCCATTTCGAATTGCGTCATCTTTTTCTGCCAGGAGAAATCTGCCTCTATTGGCTTCATCTCAACGGCAGAGCCTTCTTGGGTCTTTCTGTGAACTGGATTAGGCATACAGAATTAAGGAGACGTACATACTTAATTAAATGAGCATAGTCAAACAAACACCCACCACCAAAGAGACATTACAGAAGAAATGTTTGAAAAAGAATGAACTTGCAGGATCCTAGAAGGCACAATGCTTAGAATGCAGTATTCCTGGTTAACTCTGCACACAGCCTAGAGTTTGATCCTTACAGGCTCAAGGTTGACTCAGCCTTCCATCCTTCTGAGGTCAGTCAACTGAGGACCCAGATTGCTGGGAGCGATAGGCTGACATTGTAAACTGTCCAGAGAATGCTATAAAGCAGAGTTCCCCAACCTTTCGGGGTTGGCGGCCAGGAGCAGGGGGAGATGAGAAAGAAGGATGGTCTTGTCAGGAGGTGAACGCATGAGCATGCACATGTACGAACACCCATTGCTCATATGAGTGGGGCCACGAATGCCCATGATGCTTGCAGTGACGCTCGCATGAGTGGGGCCGCAAATGCCCACGACACTCACGCGAGTGTGGCTGTATGTGTGTGCACATGCATGCACACCAGCCAGCCACTCATGTGGCCCGGTGGCCAATAGGCCGCAGCCCGGTACTGGGCCGTGGCCCACAGGTTGGGGATCCCTGCTCTAAAGCACTAAGGGGCGGTACATAAGTCTAAGTGCTATTGCTATTTCTGTACTCTCAAAAGCATGCTTTGAAATCTGATGATTTCTACTACTGTACTAGGTATTTCAACTTCATAAAGACTGTGGTATATAAATTACTATATTCTACCTGTGATCCGTAGAAATAATGGCGTTTAGTAAAACAACATGGTTATTAATATTAAATCTCATCACTATGCTTCAAAAATTAAGCTTTTATATTTAATTAAATTTGTATTTGCATTAACACAGAAAAAATAGAAAAAAACATGAGAGGAAAAAAAGAAAAATTGAAATCTTTATCAGATGTATAAAAAATGACTTTACAAAGATATAAAACGGGGTGAGGCTTGGCTTGTGGGAAGGTTGCAGGGAAAATCGCAAATGGTGATTACATGATTGCTGCAACCATCAGTTGCATTATTAAATTGGCAGTTTATTAAACTGGCAGGTTACTTAGTTAACCGGAATAAAATTCATATACTTCCTATGGTTTCTCTGGAAATTTATAAAAATGGGGTTTTTCTGGTGTTTGAATTGTTTTAAACATCTTGGAATAATTCCCCCCCCCCCAAAAAAAGAGTTTATGGATGTAAATATTTTAAACTGCATATCTCTATCTCTGTCTCTATCTCAAAACAGTTTGTGGGAAAACAAAACAATTCACTGAATTTTCTTCTTTTCCAAAGATTAGTTCCTTTTAACCTCTTATTTTACCTAATGCAAGTTGTGGGTGCAATTTCCTTAACGTGCCAAGAAGGCTTTTACACGGCTTCTTAGGAAGCAGCTTCCAGTTCATACTCTTCTTATCATCTGATCTATACAACAGAAACAAAGGTACATATGTCAAAATGAGTAATGCATAACAATGTAACACTCAGCTTTTATTGCTTCCTGATATTGAAACAAGAACAGGAATAGGCATTTACCTTCTCCCACTAAAATTCCAAAACTCCTTTCATCGTTTTAATGCCAAGTGATTTGAATCAACTTTGGGGTTTCACTGATAAGCATTAAGAACCCTCTCAGCTGAATTTAGATTTCATTCCAAAACTATACCAACTTTTCTTTGAGTATTTTTATTTAGATAGGTTATTTCAATCAGTGAGTTTATCTTGAGATATCATTGCAGCATTATTGTGACAATGAATTTTGGGCCTCGTATGTCCAAACTTGAAATTATATCTGGTAACATGCAATATTTTTATTGAGTGTTTAGAGTTATAGTCAATGTTGAATGTAAGTGCTGCCTGTATAGAAAAAGTGGCTCAAATAATTAATTTTTCATGTACAGACATTGTTATGCAATGAAGTCTCAACAAAATGTTTTAAAACTGTTCAGGTTGAGCAAAGACGAATCAGTACATCATGCAAGTTAATTTTGCACTGTATGCAAAAAAAAAGTTGTATGCTGAAAAAAAATGCAGAGAATGACACAAAATGTGAAAAATAATGTTTACATCAGGACTTTTATTTATGATCCTGTATTGTAATTGCTTAGATCAGTAAAGTATAACATTTTATTCAGATCTAGAAGTCTCTTTCAGCTTTGCTTCAGTTCTTCAGCACATAGGAAAGAAAACCAAACAAAGGGAAAAAAAGTCATATTGAAATCGTTCTACATAATTTCTTACATAAATCAGCAACAGCCAACCTGCAATTTTTATGGCTCCTGTTGAGATTTAAGTAGCTCAGCATAATTTTCACAATTATGTGAGTTGAGAGTGGGAGAGTTAAAAATTCAACACTCATTGTAAGCCGGCTTACAGCTCACTTGGTCATTAGATCAAACAGATCTAAATATGAGAAATGGCCTTGCTCAAGACGATAGCATCATCAGTTTAAACCTGAGCTATCAAGATTTTGTACAAAAACCATGCTACTAGGATTAAAACCACAAGACTTCAAGACTTCAAACATACAGGTTTAGGCTTGTACATAAAGTTGAAGTAGTATAGTATTATCCAAATGTGTTTCGTTCTTAAATTTCTTTTTTTTCAGTGCATTAAAGTCTAACAGCACAGAAGCTTAAAACACACCATAAGCAGAACATTTCCAGTTCAAAATTCATCCTTACCAATGAATTAAGCTGCTTAGGCAAGTCAGTATCAGTCACTCTACTACAGAGATGATAAAAAGAATTTTGGAATAAACCAATACTGCTTTACTAATTGATTAGAGTTGAAATGAGTTGAAACAAACTTTCTCCTCCTAAAAACATAGTTATGTAACTCAAATCTCACTATATCAATGCAGACTTTTGTGCTGGATTTGGGTAATTATCCACAGAGTACCTCTTGTATAAATATACTTTGAAAAATATATTATTTCATACAATCTTGTAATTTTAATTTTCCTTATCAAACGTCAGACAAAGTAAATGGACAAATTGTATGTTTTACATGCCCCTTTTTATGAAACCAGAACATAGGAATCAATTCACACAGTCAGTTCTGCAATATAAAACCGTGTTTCTGAATGGACAGAACTTTACTTCTCCTTCTCACAATTGTCTGAGATGGAAAAAATCAGCATGTTTCACATGGAAGAATAAGGCTCAAGACAGCAATTACCATCAACTCTGTAATTTTAGCTTCTTTAAATAGCCTATTATCTTTTAATTCCACTTTACAATTTGCTGATTCCCTCTTGCAATGTATTATTGTGTAAAGTATATTTTATTCAGAGGATTTTGTTAAAAAAAATGACTGCATTTGTAAGCAATGCTAATTGTAGTTTATTGTAAGAGCTGGTAAATTGTCTTGCTGCTAAATAGCAAAAAAAACCAAAAACCAATATCAAACACAATTTCAACTACGAACAACAACATTTCATGAACTTTTAGTGTCATTTTATGAAATCTGTTAACCCTGTAAATCAGTTTAATCCACAATATGTTTTCTTTCAGCCAAAACACAAAACAACTGAGATGTTCCAACAAGAAAATGCTTTGGTTCAGCTGAACTATGACCCATATTAAAGTTAAAAAATTTAACTAAGCCACAGTGTTTAACTGAGTTTCTAAACCACAATGTTTCACTGAGTTTCTAAGCCACAGTCTAGTTGTTCCAAGTTCAAAATGAAACATGTTTTCCATTTGTGCATATCTGAAATGTAAACAAATCCATAGTCCCTTTTTAAAATCCAACTGGGTACAAACTGGAAGATTGCTTTACTACAAATCCATATTCTGGAGCTGATTTGGAGCCACCATAAGGACATAGCACAAGACAAACTAATTATAGTTTTTTGTCTAAAATTTGCAAGCCTCAGATATAACTACATTCTTACCAGTCTCATCCAGTATGACATGTAGTGAGATCTGAACGATCATAGTGTAATTTTTTCCAATCCTGTTATTAAACCTTAATATTTGAAGATTTGCAAGTAAAAATATTACTGATTTGATTACTATTTAACTTTTCAGCATGTACAAGTAATAGATTTGCCAAAGGACTGCAAGAATTCAAAATTTCCTGCTCCAGATTCACAGTGATATTTTCCTGATTTTTCCTCCACCCTTTCTCCTTGTTATTGTATGAAAACTCAGCACAAAGAAAGGAAATCAGCCACAAAAAATAGGGCCAAGGCTCACATTGATTCTGTAGTAGTATATAAACAATATGAACTAAGCTCAGAGGCTAAATCTGGCAAATCCTTGCTGTTTTTCTCTAGCAAAGCCTTATTGTTTTCCTAATGTGCAATCTCTATTGATTTTTATAAACCTGCTCTAATCAAATTCTAACATAAGATGGGACTTTTGATTTCCTTCTGGCAGAGTTGCCAAAAATATCACCAAGTATGTCACATGATACTGATGTCATTTGATTACTGAAATGTGAAACTACAGAAGGAAACAAGCACGTAGGGAAAGAATATTCCCCTTTTCAAAAGAGATTAGCTATAATCCTAGGGTTGTTCACATTTTACAGGAAGTATTCCTACAATAAGAAGGAGCAATTTCAGGCCCATACACACTGCCCCGATGCAGACAGATGATATTACCAGATGCAATTGTTTCCGTATTTAAAAACTTCCAATCTTTGCACAACTACCTCTTTGTGCAGATTCACTCAAATGCAAAATGTTTTGGACACAAACATTCCTTCCCTGCTATCCCTAATGTGGAGGAAAAGTATACCACAAACAAAAACCTCTTCCAATCCATAGAAATTCAGATGTGTTTTTTTTTTTAAGATAACAATTCCTCTAAAATAAAAAACTAAACTTCGTGCTATTAAATAAACATTTGTGTAATACTAGCATGTTTCCAGGGATAAAAGCTCAATAAAAACCCTCCCTTTTTATGACCCCGTAATCCTTAATTCGGGGGAGAGTAGGGGTGACTGGATGGAGCTGAGCATTTACTGGCTTGATGCTCTTCCTGACACTACTCGGAGTTCTCAGCAGATATTTTTTTCTTTGTACCCTAGGAGAGAAACATCTGCCGCTACCTAGGATTGAACTCTCAACCTTCTGAGTGGGAGGCGAGCGCCTTCAGCACTAGGCCACCACACCATTCTTTGTTGTTGTTAGTTGCGAAGTCGTGTCCGACCCATCGCGACCCCATGGAGAACGTTCCTCCAGGCCTTCCTGTCCTCTACCATCTTCTGGAGTCCGTTTAAGCTCACTCCTACTGCCTCAGTGACTCCATCCAGCCACCTCATTCTCTGTCGTCCCCTTCTTCTATTGCCCTCAATCTTTCCCAGCATCAGGCTCGTCTCCAGTGAATCCTTCCTTCTTGTTAGGTGGCCAAAGTACTTGAGTTTCAACTTCAGGATCTGGCCTTCTAAAGAGCAGTCAGGGTTGATCTCCTCTGGGACTGACTGGTTTGATCGCCTTGCAGTCCAGGGGACTCGCAGGAGTCTTCTCCAGGAACATTAAAAGGTGACTTAAAGATGTGGCATGCTTCCCACTGTTTCCAAAGGCTTTCTTCCTCTCCCTTCATTGCAACGTCATCTCCACCTTATTTTGAAGGTCCCTACTTACATTTAGGATGCGGTGGATTGCAAAGAGGCAGAAAACAGTTGAAAATTTTCATTTGTGTGAGTTGACTTTCATCCACACATCCTTTCTCACATCCAGGTCATAGTTGTCTCAAAGGGGCTTTTTTCCTTCAAAAGGCTACAGGACTTGCATCAGTTCTGATGGCAACCGCCCTCAGCACTGATGAAGCTTCTTGGAGGAGAAGTGAAATGTTTTCTTCTTCTTCCTCAAGGAAAAAAACAGTCCAGTTGCCTTTTGAAGAAAAAAAAAATTTCTTTGAGACATTCTTTCTCAGAACACATTTTACCACTTTTCTCTCAAAACTAATTCCCTAAGTCCGTTTGAATTTTTCTATCAAAGTTAGGAAGTTATGACTTTCCAGAAAGTGTTTTTTTCTTAGATCTCATTAGCTTAGTTAGCCTAGCCCCGTGGTAGGCAACCTCGGCTCTTTTATGACTCGTGGACTTCAACTCCCAGAATTCCTGAGCCAGCATGGCTAAGCATGGAAACCTCTCCCTTTCCCCTCAGCATGGCTGGCTCAGGAATTCTGGGAGTTGAAGTCCACGAGTCATAAAAGAGCCAAGGTTGCCTACCCCTGGGCCCTACCCAGGCGTTAGATAAGATGGGAGGATAGTCCATCATCACTTGATAAATTCTCCATCTCTGATTTACATCTTAGCCGAGCAACAAAGAATGACTTCACATTTACTGAATCGGTTAGAATTATGAGAACATCAAAAAAGCCACTAAAAATCCTTCCTTCTTAAGCAATATATTTTTATTTAGCTTTTCTTCTTTCGAAAGGCAGCATAGTGCTTCTCATGGGATGTCACTCGTAGTGGCCAAGATTCATCTTTTCTATGCCTATCAATTTTCAGCATTTTCTGATTTCTATCAGTTTTTCTACTGAAAAATACAGGACCCATAAGCACACATAGAAAAAGAACAGACACAGACACAAGCACGCACAGAGACGCACACACACTCTCTCGCCTCTACAATGTCAGTGAGGAGAAAATTCACCCAAGCTATCTGAGAAACAGCTCACTGAACTAGAAATGAAACAAAAAGTTACAATTGGTGGGGAAGTGAAGAGAAGCACACAAAAAACCCCACAAAGAGCTAGGCAACTCAGAGCAGAGAGAACACAGGTAGTCCTCATTTAATGACCACTCATTCAACGACCACCCATTACAACGGCACTAAACGAATGATACTTATGATGACTGGTTCTCAAAGTTCCTGCCAGTCATCCCAGCATCCCCATGATCACAGTCTGGGTGCTTGGCAACGAGCTCACACATACGACTGTTGCAGTGTCCTGCCGTCACGTGAAAACCATTTGTGACTGTTCCTGCCAGCTTCCCACAAAGAAATCAATGAGGAAGCTAGCAGGGAAGATTGGAAATCACTCCAATAAGTCGCCTACGAAGATTCTCAGTCACCCAGTTCATAGTTGCATCAAAAGTGGTTTTTATTTTTGAAAAGGCAACTGGACTGGTTTTTTGAGGAAAAAGAAGACGCTTCGCTTCCTATCCTGGAAGCTTCGTCAGTTGTATTGAATGCTGTGGCAGATTGAAGGACAGTTATTGGCAGTTGAGATTAGTTGGTGGGAGGGGGGGGAAATGATTGGTTCTGACAGGATGGTGGTGGGGGTGAGGAATAGAAAGATCGGGTTTCCCCTGCAGTCAACTGCTCTTAACACTCTCTGAGAGCCATTGTGGTTACTTGGGGTTTTATCTGTGACCTCAGGGTCACCTGAATCAGAGGTGTGGAGTCTTCTTGGATTCCAATAAGTTGCTTCCATTTTCTCCCACCTGGCAGTTGCCCCCCTCAGCTCCGTCATGCCTCATGAGCTACCCATGCATCCTTCCCTGTCTGGCAGCAGCCCCCCCCAAGTCATACTTATACCATGCTTCACGGGTACTCCTCTACCCAGCATCAGCCCTGCCTAGCCCAGCTGTGCTCATGCCACACCACTTACCCACTCAATCTTCCCCATCGGACAGCCTGCTTGCAAGCTACCTGGGACTCAATGACCTGTGATCCTCACTTTTAACGATAGCAACGATAGCCAGTACTCTGGTTGCTAAGCCATGTGGTCACACAATGCCACACCCTTACAACATAGTTTAGCAATGAAAATTTCACTCCCAATCACCGTCATTAACCGAGGATTACCTGTACTCGTGTAAACCGGAATGGGCCTTTGCGCTGTTTTAAATTTCACAGATGGGATAAAATGAGCAAAAGAAACACATTCAAATTTTGCACCAGTTACTTCAAAAGACATATATATATGAAGACAAAGGATATGAACAAAAAACTAAAAAAAAACAAACAACACTTACATGTACACCATGTTTGTGTCTAAATCAATGCAAACCACATCTTGTGGTGGCTCATACAGATCAAAATACCGTGAATCAACTCCAACTATAAATGGGACGGGAGCACTGAGCACTGTTGCCAGAGATAAAGGGCAGAGGGGGATGTAGGGACACTGCCACTGAAACGGAAAGATCATCTGAAGAAAAAAATGAAATGAAACCCATCAATTAAAAAGACAATGGAATCTAGGTAACACCAAACCATGTTAGTTAATGTGAATTTCAATTTCACAGCAGCTCCAACATTACACAATAAATCAATTGATCACGGCATAAATAAAATCTGAAATTATTATTTAATCCTTGTTTAGAGTGAACCATATACACAAATTATTTAGCTTGGCCGTGACTATCAAGCCTATTGTACAAAGACATCATTGTAAGCTCAAGTAATAGGTTTGAATAAGAATGACTATTTTCATATATCTAAATGCTATTTTGTAAGCCATTCCAGTCAAAAGTCACTTGTGCAAATGAAACAAATATAAGATACTAAGGTACATAATTCATAATGCTAGCAAAAAAAGTCTTTCTAATTATTTTGTAAGTATTTTATTCTAGGAGCACTTAAATTTATCACGTGCTGGACAACAATAACTTTAAAAGTTAAAGTTCTACCAAAAGACTAAGTGTATTTTTAATTCTATTGTGATGCACAGCATGCTTCCTGACCGCAAACTGTTTTGATGTATTCATTTTATTCTAACGCTACTAATACATTCAATCTGAATTTATATATAATCTCATTTGGATTATGGAACAGTATTTTTTATTTATTTTTATCTCTATAGCTGCCCATGTCAACAAGTATCTCTGGATGGCGTATATCATAAAATGTAAAAAATAAAAATAAATATATATGGCCACCAAGGAAAACTATATTGTACGTAAGATAAAGGAGATGAACCTCAAGGAATTGCTAACATCTTTCTCTGTAACATGCAATTTAAGAAAACAATGAAATATCATTCTTGAAAAAAATTAGGAGGGCAAAGATAATTAATCAGATTAAAAGGTATAATAGCAAAACAGGTTATTTCTGAATCTATCTTCTTGAAAATGCAGCTTGTGTATGTATTGAAAAAGCATATATATTTACTTCCTAATTGCATTTCAAACTAAATAAAATGGAAGCCCAAACTGTTACTTATATTAGTTCAGCACAAAAAGATGTCCTGTTTGTGATCACTGTATCCTATCAATCTTTCCAATGATAAAATAATAACAGAATTGTAAAAGCAAGCAAGTTTCTCTTCCCTAAAGGCTTGACCATAAGCTTCTGAGAATTGTAGGATTTCTGTAGAGCAGTGGTTCTCAACCTTTTTAATGCCGTGACCCCAACCGGTCATAAGTCGAGGACTAAACCGGTCGTAAGTCGAGGACTAAACTGGTTGTAAGTCGAGGACTACCCAACCGGTCGTAAGTCGAGGACTTTCCCTGCCCGGGAGCACCGCGCATGCGTGGTTCCGCCCCGTGCCGGCCGAGGCGTAGCTGGCAAGCGGCAGAGACGGAGCAGGCCGACCACCAGCTGGCCCACCCCAAAGGAGGTAAGGCACCCGCCAGAAAAGGGGAAAAAATGGCGGACAAAAAAAATGGTGGACAGCCTTGCTTGGCGACCCCCATGAAATGGTCGATCGACCCCAAATGGGGTCCCGACCCACAGGTTGAGAACCACTGCTGTAGAGAATCAGGAAGAAAATCTTGATGGAGATATGTTGCCTAAGCAAAGGGAGCTGAAGCGTTTTTAAGATGAGAACGAAATAACATTTGGAAGCAGGAGTATAAAGGAGAAAGGAATACAGTATAATCAGACTTGCAAGATTTTGTTATTATGGCCAATAACAATAAAAGAGCTTTTAGCATTCCTGTGAAGTTGATTTCCTGGTCTAGTCTACCTGATGGGGCTGTTATCTGCTGAGAAACACAGGGAATGAATAAAGGGGAAAAGTTACACTGTGGATATGGATTTGATCCAGAGAATTTGAAGAGTACCAAAATACTGTGTATCGTGGAAGGATTTGGGTTTTTTATTTTTTTTTTAATGACTTTAATCATCAAAAGGTCTCATTCTGAAAACTTACAGATGTGGAAAAAGAAAAAGAAAAATAGACCACCTATTGTTCTGATGCAATAGTTCCTTTGGGCATTAATTAATTATTTTGCAGCCAAAAGCTGTGAATTCACTTATACTATCCCAATAGAAAATCCTTGCAAGTTCATTTCCTGCTTAGGGAAATAAACAATTTAAATGACCAAGTGTGCCTCATCTTATTCACATAAACAAAATATATTTATTCTGTAATTTAAATATTTCATTCAGAAGTACAAGCAACTTTTTTTTCCCAGAAGGTCACGTTAAACAAAAGAAAAGAAAAAAATTAAGTGTTCAATGTTTGTGAAGCAAGACAACAAATAAGAAAGAATCAATCAGATAAAAGTTGGTAATCAAAAAATTCAAACGTATTAGCACTTACAGCAGCCACAGCTTCGGCAACTCCAGTCAGCACAGCTGGGCAGAGAGAATGTAGTAGAATCTTGCCTTCCAACAATACAAAGAGGAGTAAAGTAGCACAGTTTTCTGGTCCAAGGTTCATAAGCAGATTGCTGTAGTTTGCCCCACTACAATGAGATCAGGACACTGAGGACTGTATCATTCATTGCTCATTATGACAATAACAATAATAACTGATTAAATGTATATGTGATGATCTTTTGTGACCTTTGCCAAGCAAAGTCAAAGGGGAAGCTAGATTCACTTAACAACCATGTTACTAACTTAACAACTGCAGTGATTCATTTATCAACTAGGGCAGGGGTAGGCAACCTTGGCTCTTTTATGACTCGTGGACTTCAACTCCCAGAATTCCTGAGCCAGCATGGCTCAGCTTGGAAACCTCTCCCTTTTCCCTCAACATGGCTGGCTCAGGAATTCTGGGAGTTGAAGTCCACGAGTCATAAAAGAGCCAAGATTGCCTGCCCCTGAACTAGGGCAAGAAAGGAGCAACATTTGTAACAAATGTCTCACTCAGCAACAGAAATGTTGGGCTCAACTGTAGTCATAAGTTGAGGGCTACCTGCATTCCTCCCTCCTCCTATTTTATCAGGATTAAACTCTAAGGCAGGGGTCTTCAAACTTGGCCCTTTTATGACTTGTGGACTTCAACTCCCAGAATTCCTCAGCCAGCGTGCCTGGCTGAGGAATTCTGGGAGTTGAAGTCCACAAGTCAAAAAAGGGCCAAGTTTGAAGATTCCTGCTCTAAGTCCTCTTCCCACTTTTTAAAAGCATTCAAGCAAACCTGTTGTATTTGATATGTACATTTCATGTTTGGAAAAAGAAGACTGCTGTTTTAGATCCACTTTGATAATCTAAGAACTTTATGGGTTTTATTTTATTTCCTGTTAGAAATCAATGTGAAATTCCACTATGTTCAGTGACCCGGGGAAGTGGGGGGGAGGGAGGCATAGGTACATTACAAAAAAGAACTTGGAAACATATGCAGGTAAAATCTGAATAGCATGCATTAGCACATTGCTCATTTGCTGCTAAACAAATTATGGTTTACTTTGTGTAAATTGGCTCTTAATGTTTTAATTCAGCTGCATCTTTAAAATACTCCACTGACCATTATTACCTGAGTGGTAAAGGTGTACAGACTGGTTGAGACAATATTAATGCATCATGGGCTGACAGCTGTAAAAAGCAAATTATCAGTTATTTGGCAGTTTGAGAAAACTCACATCAAGCAAACTAACTAATCAGGCATTAAATTAAATAATTAATCACATTAGCCCATGAAATGTGCATTATCTACAACTATTTGCACGGGGAACAGACATTACTAGATAGGCCGGGCTCACCAGCTGTGAAATTTGCATTTCCAGTCCTCTGGCACTTCACATACATAATTGTAAAAACTTTCACAGTATTTCTGTAAGGTGGTTTGACACAACTGCTTTCCTACAGTACCATGAAGTGGCAGCAAGGGATTGGGAAGAATAAGAATAGGAAACATTAGATCAACTGCCTCACTCCAATAGGATTGGCCTGCTCCACTTGCTCCAGAAGGGGCATGCTACGGACCATATCGGTCAAGGGGGGGGGGCTAGGAGAAGAGCCTTTTCTGCCAAGGCCCCATCCTCTGGACTTTCCAAAAGGGCCTGAAAATCTGGTTCTGTTGATTGATTGGCTTGGGGATCCAATGAGGCCGTCCCATTCTGAAAATGGTTATAGACGAAGAAGATCCCGCCTCCACCTGGTTTATATATTGGTACCTTTCTTACCTAGAGGGTTTTTTTGGGTTAATTTTCAATGCTTTAATTTTTTAATGTTTCTAATATTCTAATTTGTTATATGATGTTGTTTTAGGATTTTGTAAGCTGTCCAGAGTCATTCGACAGTGAGATGGGCAACATATAAATTTAATAATTAAATAAGCCACTAGCATTTTATAAATCACAGAATTCTCAGTTTATGCACCACTTTTGAGTTGCACTATTTCAAACATGGATAGTTCTCTGAGAAATTGAAACAATGCAACCTGTCAGTTCCTATTTCTAATTCCAGTGCTGTTCATTACAATATGGATGTTCCACAGAGAACTAAATAGTGAGGTATTTTTAGGAATAGTTTGATCTGGTACATGGAAAACAAAGAAGGCTGGATCTGTACATTTGTTGCTCACTATGTAAGGAAACTAGTATAACATTCTTCATGATCCCTCAAGTGTATGGCAAAGTGGAGCAAGTAAAAAGAACATGGTGTCTATACACCTAGTGAACAGCTTGAAAATTTATAGGAACAATACTCAGGAAATAAGATGGTCCTAACAGCCATGGTGGCACAGTGGTGAGAATGCAGTATTGCAGGATAATTCTGCCGACTGCCAGCAGTTCAATTCTCACCGGCTCAAGATTGACTCAGCCTTTCATCCTTCCAAGATTGGTAAAATGAGGACCCAGATGGTTGGGGGCAATATGCTGACTCTGTAAACCGCTTAGAGAGGGCCGTAAAGCACAGTGAAGCAATATATAAGTCTAAGTGCTATTGATAGTATTATTAAACTGTATCAAATTTCTAACTTACCTGCACAAGGATTCTTGGTCTTTGTGGTGAAGGGAAAGGTATGTTGTGCATAAAGTGAGATATGTGCCTGTAAAGAAATTTTGTACAGTACCTCAAACATTTTGTACAGTACCTCATTTTTGTACAGTACCTCAATTTTGTACAGTACCTCAAACATTTAAGTTTTAAAGTACAGTCATCAAGAACAGCATCCAGTGAGATTTACATAAAATAACCATGGAAATGGGAAGATATTTTGAGGTATCTGTCACTTACTTTTCAATTGGAAGAGGATGAGGACCAGACACAGACAGCTTATAGATAAACATTAGAAATTTTCGGAAGGCTTCAAAGAAAGGCCAGTGTGACAGAAGGCAGATGCATTTGTTGGAATTTATAGATTTGGAGGTAACTTTTTTTCTCCCTACAGCTGTCAGAAGGCCAAGCTGCATGTGTTGTTTTTCATTTAATAACTCTTGTGAATAAGGCTCATAAAACTGGATAGCTGCACCATATACCTAGAGTAAAAAAAGGGGAAGGGGGAGTAGGAATGGCATTACAGCTACAGAAATTGGGCAAAACTAACAACACATAATGAATTTGATCAACTAAAAATGAAAGAAAAAGAATATTTCCCTACTCTTGAGTCTTCCACACAACCAACTAGATATTATCAAAAACCTAACACACTAACAATATAAATATAATTGTGGCATTTTATATCATTAATGACTTATGGTTTGTGATAATACCTAGCTTCCTCAGAGATGGAAAGTTCATTAGCATCCAAGCATCTAGTAGACTGTAACTCATTTTTATTTGGGCTATAATTTAATGGCCTAGTTAAGTAAAATATTAAACCTTGATTCACATATTTTAATCTTTTTGTTAGAATATTTGTTACCATATTTAGAGGCAGCTGTGCTTTATCAGTTATGGTAAGATACACAAAGAGATGAAATGTTCTGATTATCTCCTCTAACTCCTGCACCATGAGTTTTAGACAGATTTCAAGGTTTTAGTGAAGGCTTTCAAATGTTTAAAAGTGACAATGTTACAAACATCCACTGAGAATTATTTAACCACTATATAAATTAAAGATTTTTCTATCCAAAATGTTATCAGTAAAAGAAAAGTATAAGCAACAAACAAGTAGTTCTTGCTTACCAAATGTTTTGTTCAGCAACTGTTTGAAGTTACAACAGTGCTGAAAAACTGACTTTAGGAACAATGTCCGCTTTATAACTTTCACAGTAGTCCTCAGGCCCATGATCTCCATTACACTTGTGTTTTGTCCTGTGACTGATCTTTCCCCCCCCTTGCAGGATGGAGAGATTGGAGAGGGAGGGATTACAAGAATCTAAGCAGGAGAATACACTGGGCTGTTTGAGTGGTGTGCTCAGGGCTGCCCGCATCACTGCATTACTTTTAATGTGTATTCCCCATTGTGTGCCTGCTTACTCTCTTTTAACCCCTTCCTCTCCAATGAGTGTAAATACAAAAATTAATTCCCTTCTTGCCAATTATCCCAGTGCTTAGGTGAGCATTCCAAGGTGCGGCTAAGTAGGGAAAAGGAAAACACAACTGTGGCCATATGATTTCCCACTCAGCATGTCTTCACTTACAACAGTTCCAATTGTAGTTGCTAAATGAGGACTACCGGTAGCTGCAAACACAAAGGAGCTAACCCAGAAGTTCATTTGTTGCATTTTTAGATTTGTATTCCTAAATGCTCTAAGGTGTAACAAGACAGAAGGCATGGCGTGTGTGTGTATTTGTTTCCAGTTTAAAAATAAATATTATGGGATAAAATAATATTTTTATTTATAATAATACGTAAAGGCAAAATATTACTCTTCTCAAAACATACTTTTTCTGCAGTGGAGCCAGTCAAAACAAATGTTGAGAATACAGGTAGTGGATATTTTGTTTGAGGATCCCAGCATTCAATGGTAGCTCCCATTGGAAGACAGAAGAGAGGTACAGATTCAGACAAGGGGAATGACTCATAGTCATCTTCTGGATATCGGAATATTAAACCTTTAAGGCATGAAAATAAACAAATAAGTACATTGTCCACACACAACTGAATGTTGTTCCTTCTGTTCTCAATGCTGACTTAATAAAAATGCTAAAGAATACAGAAGCTAAATACTATATGGTATAAAATTAAATTTAAGAACACTCCCCTCATCTTTCAGCAATTCACCCCAAAGACTCCTCTGAGTATCAAGTGATTTGCTGAATGGTCTGGACCAGTGGTGGCGAACCTATGGCACGGATGCCAGAGGCGGCACTCAGAGCCCACTCTGTGGGCATGCACGCCATTGCCCCAGCCCCGCTACCCCCCTGGCCCCCTTCTCACCAGCAGCCCCCCCAGAGGAAAGTCGCTCCGGGTGCAGCCTGCGCAGAGCAGCGCAGCCAAGGACATGGCAGCTGGGCAGTGGAGACAAGACTCTGCCCTCACGCCCCGTCGCATACGGATGCTGCGGGGCGCGGACAGAGGGCGTGGCCACCATGATGCTGCTGGGCCACCTGGGCGATCTGCTGTGGTGGGCTGTGGAGCTGGTGAGTGGCCCTGTGGGCAGGAGACGTGGGGACGGGGCAGGGGCGAGGCGGTTTTTGGGCACTCGGTCTCTAAAAGGTTCGCCATCACTGGTCTGGACTATGGTGCAAGGAACTGAAGCACAGTGAGGCATCTCCTCAAAGAACACATCCTCTATGTGCAAAGCTATGACTACTGCCAGATTTAAAGTTTAAAACAATGTGAGTATATATCCCTATCAAATTGTTTAAGCTTTCTATTAAAAGGGTTCCAACCTAGTGATTCTTGTTCCATTGTTATCAAGTAAGAAAGGACTACCATGTTGTAGTGCATAGTTGGTATAATCCTATCAACATGATGAGTAAGACAGCAATTCTTCAATATATGTCATTATCCTTAAATATATACAAACCTATCAATCTATTCACTTCAGATTTGGGGCAGAATTCTGACCTACGGTTGGGATGAAAGTGCCATGTTTAACCAAAACCCACTTTTCCTCTTATTTCTTGAAATCTTGACTATTCTCCCTCATTTCACTGCAGTGACTTTCTACACAGCAAGAGATGTTCAACATAAGGAGATTTAATTTCCAACTAGTTTCTTTTGTACATTTTGTTTTGCTTCAAATACTATATACAAAACAGTGTTAGAATGATAAGGCTCATCATCATGCAATTCACGACTGATAAATATATATAATGGAAGGAGAACATAAACTGTTCTGAACTTTTTCATAATGATAATGTATTAAAAAACTATTTTTAAGGATCCTCATCTAAGGATCACCTTAGATGAGTCAAATAGATTGATGAATGTTCTTTGATCAAGCAATTTCAGTTCACTATTTAACAGGCAAGTTTAATGTACTATAAAATACCCTCTTAATATTAATATCTCCTAATATATTGCAATTTATAAAAATAAATACTTTACCAGCTTTATATGCAATTGAGTTGGAAGCTGGAACTGACTTCTTATAACAGAGGTATACACTGGAACCCCACTGTAATGAACAAATTAGAAACATTTTCCATTAACACAGGAATTATTTTATTTTTAATCCTTCTAATGCTAAAGGCAATAATCTTTTAAAGATCTTGCTCACAATACAGAATCACATAATATTTGCAACATTAATTACAACCTAAATAAAACACAGATTTTTGATTCTGCTATTATTAGAGGTTAAGCAAATAAACTTGATATTTGCTAATATTTCCCTCCTATAAGGTAGTAAATGTTTTTCATGGAATACTACAGAGACATATATGTTAATATATGAAAGGCAGTGTTTTCTCTTGTTTCATTCCTAAACAATTTAGCTCTAATTTTCCACCTTCCCATTTTAAAAATGCATTGCTTGGTATTAAGGCAAGCTTTAATGCAAGCTTGCAGACCAAACTGCAATCTTCAGTTGGCTTGATTCATGTAATGCTCTAATGTGGATTTGGAAAATCTTGAATAAATTATGGCCCACAATGAATAAATGTAAGCAGATAAGTAGTATGCATGAGGGTTAAGGTTAAGAATGGAGAAACACACAGGTTCAAGTCTCCGGTCAAACATGCAATTGGGTCAGTAATTGTCTTTCAGCCTTACAAACCTAACAAAACTGTTGTGTGCATAAAGAGCTCAAAAGGAGAATATAAATATGCAGTAAGAATGTAGGTAGGCACATGTCCCATAAATATATAGAGATATTAATTTTCACTCAGTAACCCAATTCGTATATGTTACAAATATAAAGGCCAATCTTTTTTCTTTCATAAACCAGCAGTCTTCAATACATACTTTTTCTCCCACCAAAAAAGTAATAGTTGTCTATCTCACAGATTTTGGTAACAATAGTTTAGCAACAAAAAAAAAAAACATGCAAAGCTATGGAAACTAAAGTGATACAAACTGAATTCAGACTTAAATACAGTTTTTACATGTTTTTTTAATCTGTTCCAAATTTTTCACCCCACACCCTTTGCTTTCTGAATAGCAACTTTTCGAATAACACATTATTCTCACCATGCCGCAATTTAAATTCTTATCAACTTTGCAGAAAGTATGAGGAGGGGTTTCTCCTTTACTAGTTACGATAACACATATGTCGGTAACAGCCAAGGAGTTTTGAGGTCGCACTGGAAGAGCCCTCCGAAAGGTGATAAAGATTCGCTGGGAAGTGGCTGAGCTGTTATTGACATTTGCACAGCGGCCATAGGGAGTAGCCTGGATCACCTCACAATCTTGCTTTAAAACCTCCTTCCCATCGTATAAAACGCTGCAGGTAAGAGGAAATAACACACATAGGATCATTTCACAGACATAATATCAAAACTGTTATTCAATAAACTGTTCGGTTATTCTTCTCTCATACAAAGCAGCCGGCCCCAAGACGAGGTACACTGGAAAAACCCCAAGTGCGTATTAGACCAGCAGATAAAACTTTCTGGTTAAAAGATTTTTAAATTGAAGAAAAAAGGCATATGATCCTTTTACGTAAAGCAAGGGAGTTGGATTAAACCAGAAGTGAGCCAGGTTCAAAACTTCCTCCAGTTAGGAAAGCTTACTGTGAGACTTTAGGAAAGTCATAATAGGTAATGTTTGACTTACCACAATTCACTTACCGTAATCATGGCTTCAATTAACGATGACCATCCAATGACCATCACAAAATGTCTCAGACCCTCCCCCCACGGTCACATGATTGCAATCTAGGTGCTTGGCAACCTGTTCACACTTATGACCAGTTGCCAAGCTCTCCATGATCATGTGATCACTATTTGCAATCTTCTCTGCCAGCTTCCCCAGAAAGTCACTGGGGAAGCTAGCAGGGAAGGTTGCAAACATCTGCTGTTGCTGCTGCAGGCTGAGCTAATTCTTTCTCATCTCTGGGGATTGGCTGAAAGAACTCTGTGCCAAAGGAATTCAACTCTGTGTGAGGTACCAAATGTTAAAATTGCGGTTGTTGAGTGAAACAATCACATCTCTCTTAAAGACAGCTTTGCTCAACAACCAAGATTCCAGTTCTAATTGTGGTTCTAAGTCGAGAAATACCCGTCCTTCATAGCCCAACTTATTTCAAACAGCTGTTATTATGAGAAAAAGAGAGTTCCTAAAGGGAAGGCAGATTATAAATCTAATAATAATTAGATACAAGGTTTGGGACTGCAATTCCCAAATTCTCAGACCATGTTGGTTTAGAATCTGGGAGTGGTAATCTCAAATCATCTAGAGGCTACAAAGCTGGGGAAGGCTAGTCCAAAGTTTTATCAATTTTCCCATCTCTTTGCTCTCTTTTAATGCTTTAATATGTGCAACATCTTCTTTATCTACTTTGCAATACTATACTTATCAACATAAAAGACTAGTAGCCCATTAGGTATAAACCAATTAATACAACATGAGGTCTGTTAAAGGACTTCTAAATTATTTCTTTTAAAGTGAACAATTAAAATGCAGAATAGATCATGATCCCAAACATTATAGTTAATACTACAAAAAAAGTCTCAAAATGTTTTAAGTAATATTTATCACAAAATAGCACATGTTTAGCAATAGTATTGTTCTATTTATCATGTGGTGGCACTGACAAAAATTGGGCACATAACATGGCCATTGTTGTACATATACTAATGTCCATGAATGCTATTATGCCTGTATACGATTCAGTTAAACAAGTACCTGTAATTTCACATTTTTAAAAATTGATTTGCAATGACAAGCATAGATAAAGCTATTAATTAATACAAAATCATATCTGATATTATTAGCTAGACTAGAACCAGAGGTTTCACAACAACTTTTTGTTACGGTGTTGCAATTGTATTGTTTTACCATTTAAGTTCAAAAACACCGTGGCTCAAAATCCTAAATAATTCTATACTGATGGTAGAAACCATCCACAACTATAAATAAATCACTATGTCACCATAGTCCACCTATACTAAGCCTAATATATTACTGTTATGTTATGACATATTTATTATCATGTGTATATAGGGCATATCCTTGTCCATATGTTCTGTGTATGTATTTTCCCCCCAATTAAAATACTTTATACAGGTTGATATTGTGTTCCCCCGAAAAATTATTATTTTTTGCCTCCAAAAGAGGCACCAGTTCTTATTTGGGGGGGGGGGTGGGTTCTTTTCCACTCACCTCGCAGTGGTGGTACCAACAGCCCCGCTCAGCCAGCCCACTTCTTCTGCGGCCGAAGGAGCAGCTTCATTCTGCAGCTGAGAATGGAGCTCCGGCCTGCATTTCGCAGTCAGAAGCCTTTCCGGAAAGGCCTCTGAAGCTGAGAACTGAGCTACAGATTGAATCCATAGCTCGGTTTTCGGCTGCAGAGGCCTCTGGAAAGGCCTCTGACTGCGAAACGCAGACTGGAGCTCCATTCTCAGCTGCAGAATGAAGTTGCTCCTGTGGCCGCAGAAGAAGTGGACCGGCGAGGTGAGGCAAGCGTCGATCCATGGGAGGCCTGGCTGCAACGGTAAGCTCCATCCCCCACCTCCACCCTAGCTTGATTTTTAGGCTTTTGCCTCACCCCAAAACTAGGGCTTATTTTGGGGGAAGGGTTTATATTAGGCCCACCCCCAAAAAGCAAGCTAGGGCTTATTTTCCGGACAGGTCTTACTTTTGGGGAAACACGGTATATAGCAATTACTGTTCACAGCATATTAAAGTTTGGGGGTGGAGGGGTCGGAAATCAGCTATCATCTCTTACTAATTGCTTTCTTTTTGCCCAATTATTATAGATTGTAGGCTACCTAAAATTCAAAACTAAAGCCACTGGTATGCTCACATCAGAATATTTTTATGAACTTTGTGTATTATAGAGAGATGAATGACCAAATGAATACTAGACATATCAAAAGTCATTTATAAGATCAGCCATCCAATTGGCTTCAAAATAAGGACTCAGAATAAACTATACAGCACATCATTCATAAATATATACACAATACAAGCTAAATAACTAATTAACTTAGTTTCTTACCAACTGCTTCTAACAACTTTAACAGATCCTTTCTCCCTTCATGACAATATTGATGCCCACAAATATTTAAACGTCAACTCACCCAATATCAGTAAGAGGTGGTTTTTCCCTGCTTCTCTTGTAGCAAAGAAAAAGCTCTGGACTTTTAAGACTTCCATAGTTCAAATTGGCCTGAAGTCCTGTGGGAGTTGCTTCTACACAAGTATATCCCTCAGGAACAGTTTCACCTGCTGACTTGATGATCACAGCAAGTTCAGTGATTGGCGCCTTTGGACCAAAAGACTTGGTTTCAGAGCGATTTCCCTCTTGATCTAGAAGTGCTGACGTATCCGTGAGACCTGCCACTACAAAGTAATCAACCACTCTTGGCCCTTTATCTTCTCTCATTGTTATGTTTAGGATTCCTGCCAAAAAAAAAGTTAATTTCAATTATCTTATCAAGTTGGTAATGCATAATGAAGTAAAACCTAAGTTATCCATCACTACTCAAACATGCAAATTGACTTAGGTGTCCTTTGCCTTCAAAAGCTTTAATAAAAGTCACGATTATTAAAAACGCATACAAAAATTCATGGCTATAAAAAGCTCAATAGGTTTCAAGCACTAGTTAAAGTAATGGAGGAAACATCATGCACACATCCAACATCTAATCAAGAACCAGTCATGTAACCCTTTTCAACTTGAAGTAAGATTAAAATACAACAATGCACCTAGCTAAAAGAATGAATATACATTTCCAGTAATTATTAAAAATATTAAAATGTCTCAGTTTCTTCAGGGGAAAGTTTATCGTACTGTGTAAGTCAATGCGCTCTCCTTTACTAATGCAATTCTTGGGCAAGTTAAAAACCGCCTTTGTGTATAGCAGAGTCAAAACACATAGCACTGAATAAGAAAAGCAAATTAAGTCCTACAAATTGTGATGATGATTATTTATACACACATATAGCCACACAGGAACATCACAACATGAAAACGTTTTATGTAAAAGGAGCAAATATCTGTCAATCTAGAATAAATCCTTCTAATTAGAAGAAAAGCCTTGATAAATATTAAATTACTTAAAATACAAGATCTACTGTTCACAAGACCAGTGGTATTTCTTTGCCCTATCTTTATTTAAAACATACAATATGATTGTACTATCAAAGTGTTATTAAGCATTGCTAATTCTGCCCATAGCGTGACAAGTAGGGATAACTATCTGAAATTTCAAGTGTACATTCCAGGGACTTCTAAGCTTCCTCTTCTTACAAATCAATGAAGGCAACATCCATGCACAACAAATATCTCGTATTTTCTTCTGTTACGAGTGTAGAACCATTTTCTGCTTTAACAGAGTAAGAATGGAGCACTCCCACCCTCCTTCCTTACCACAGGGATCTCCAACCTTTCTGAGTTGGCGGCCCAGTGGGAGAGGGAGGGGCAGGCTCCTTACGTGTGCATACGCAAACATGAATGTGGTCACATGTGCGTGTGCATGCACAAATAGACCACAAGCAGGCACACCACGCAACCGGAGCTGCAAGCATGTGCCCGAGGCTCTCAGCAAAGCCGGTGCCTGTGTGAGGTTTGTGGTACTGCCTCCGGGCTCGCAGCGATGCTACCACAGGTGTGAGAATCGCACCGCCGCCCGTGTAAGGCTTGCACCATGGCCCACAGCGATGCCACCACCAGTGTGAGGCTTACGCTGTGGCCTGCCTGCCGCTTGTGGTGCTACTGCCGCCCACACAAGGTTTGTGGCAACGCCACCACCCACATATTAGTGGTGGTGCCGCTATCCGCACAACACTCGCAGCAAAGGTGGCACATGTGTGCATTGCCCAACTACTCACACGGCCTGGTGTCCAAGGCCCGGTAGTGGGCCGTGGCCCATAGGTTGGGGACCTCTGCATTATCACATTACCTGTCTGCTCAAGGGCTGAACACCCTGCTTAGATTTTGGCTTCCTCTTGTCCCTTTTTGAAACAGCTGCATGCTGAAGGAATTCATCTCAGTGTCTGCTTAGATTGTGGCAATCCTGGCAGGCACAAGGATGAAAGCCCCGAGACAAAATGGAGTCCTTTTGCAGGCAACAGTAGCAGCTTGTAATATTCCCTGCTGGCTTCCCCACTGACTTTATGGGGAAGCCAGCAAAGAAGATGGCAAATGGCAATCACATGATTGTGGGGCACTCGGCAGCTGGTCATAATTGTGAAGAGGTTGCAAAGCACCCACCTCATGATCATATTTTGTGATTGTGACATTTTGCAACAATTGGAAGTGTTGTAGAGGCAGTAAAGAACCTTTTCAAAGGCCATTATTAATTAGAACTGCCATTAATTGTAAGTCAAGGATTACCTGTCAAACGGAGATACTCTGAATCTCATTCTTATGTTTTCCCCTTCCCTCTGGGTAACACTCTTTTTCCTTCCTCTGTTTGCTCTTACTTTCACTTGGCTGAGGCTAAAAACAAATTGCTCTTTTCTGGTCAGCTGGGTAGTACATTGTCTACAATCTCACTCAAGAATTCTGGAAATATTCTTTTTGTAAAATGGTTTACATTCTTCATGTGTGTCATACATCTATGGCTCAAATTTTTATCGTTTTCCAAAATCCAGTATGCAAGAACTCAAATCTGTAATATCAGCAGGTCTAACACAAGGGTGATGATTTGAGGATAGCTTTCAGTCTTACTGAAAAACTACCAAAAGTAGATACAGTATTTCTACAAAATATTGGGATGACAGAGGCTAGCCCAGGGGTAGGCAACCTTGGCTCTTTTACGACTTGTAGACTTCAACTCCCAGAATTCCTGAGCCAGCTTGGCTGGCTCAGGAATTCTGGGAGTTGAAGTCCACAAGTCATAAAAGAGCCAAGGTTGCCTACCCCTGGGCTAGGATGTACAGTATAGAGAATTCCTAAAGTTACCTCTCCTTCTTTTATTCCATTTTTAAAAATGGGGGGGGGAGTGCTTCTGTACAGAGCAAAGGAAGAAAAATCTGCAGGTGGAAAAATCCTCAAAGTCAGATTTCTGTTTTTTTCAGGCATTGGGAAAGAATTTCCTTCCCCCTATTTTGCAATCTCACTTTTGCCTCATTTAATAAAAAAGTTAAAAAAAAAAAGTGGTAGTCAGGAAAACATTGCAGAGAAAACACCATGTGAAAGATGAGAGCAAGGGGAGTGTATTGTAGTTAGTTAGAACCATTGCATAAGACAGCAAATATCTTAAGCACTTTCAAGTAGTTTAAGTGACAAAATCAAACACCACCCACTTTCAATATTATCGGGGAAAATACTGTAAAGAAGAACTGTAATACTGAAAGTGGGTAGTGGTGGCAATTTGCTTCTATTGCTGAAAGTAGTAATATTGTAATCTAGGGAAAAGTTGGGTCCAGTCACACATCTGCTAATGGTGCAAATGACTTCTATATTCTTTAAAGAAATGACTTGTAGGAATATATTGTAAAAGAGTTTCCAATCTCCACTGACACTTCATCATATAGAAATCTTTTTTACAATCTCTCACAGTCCATGAATGTCCTATGGATGGCTAGGGGAACATCCCAAATAGACTATGGGTGCCCAAAGAATTGCACAGGGGAGAAGGTGCTTGAGCAATTAATTATAACACAGCCTATGTCAGTGGTGGCGAACCTATGGCACGCGTGCCAGAGACGGCACTCAGAGCCCTCTCTGTGGGCATGCGCACCATGCCCCGGAGATGGCAACCGTCCCTCTTCAACCAGCCGCCCGCTAACTCGCCAAAGTCCTACATGGCCGGATGCATCCCAGCATGACTGGTTTCCCTCCCCCCCCATCCCATCTCTCCTGGCCTCGCATGCTCTCCTTTTCCCAGGCACGACCCACTGCATCACCTTCTTAGCTGTCGGCCGGCCAGCCAGCTCAGAGGCAGCTTCTCTAAACTGTTGGCGGCGGGCTGCAGAGCGCCAGAGTGTGCCGGTCGAGGGGCCAGCAGGCTGTGGCTGCTGATGGACACTGTCGGCCCCCATGCACTCGCTGGCCTCTGTGTGCGGAGGCCAATGGTGTCAGGCAGCAGCCGCCCCGGCCCCTGCCTTGCTTTGCCCTGCAACAATGGCACCCCCGCCCTGCCTCATCTTGTCTCACCTCACCTTGCAGGATGAGCCTCCTGCCCACCGCCCCATCTTCCAGAGACCCCCTGGATCTCCCCCAACCCTGCCCGGCCCCCACAGGCATTCCTCCCCACAAGCAACATCAAGGTGATCACGCTCACCTTGGCCACACCCACCCAGTCTACCATGACCACAGCCATGCCCACCTGGCACCCGATGATAAATAAGTGGGTTTTGGGTTGCAGTTTGGGCACTCGGTCTCTAAAAAGTTCGCCATCACTGGCCTATGTACTCCTAAACAGTGCAAAAATTCAGAAACAATATATAATTGGATATTGCTGCCATTATTATTTCACTCTTGAAATACCAGATACCAGAATGATTTATCATCAGAGTAATTCCTATAATAGTGCTACAATATGTAAATGTGAATGAAAAAAGTTATAATAGCATATATACAATTTATTTTAAAAAGTAATTCCCAAGTGCATTTAAAATTGCACTTTTTCCTCTGCATGCTAAATCGTAATGCAATTACATCAGCATGTATCTGGTTCCACATTATCAAGCCCACTAATAAACATTAAAAGAAAGAGCAAGGTATCATAGATTTTGCTCTTTTATTCCCTAAATAAAGTGACTGCCAATATTTTATGATGTTGCTGGTTGGCACACCAGACTCTTTATAATTGTAAAGAAGTGATACTTCCTCTCAATCAAGTTTTAAACATTTCATGTGAGATTATCTTCTTCTTTCAGTACGCTACCTTTAGGGAAATACCACTGCCATGACTGAAAATGTTGGCAACTAATTTTATTAGCAGGATATGGGAATTAAATTTTTCATTAAATGATCTAGTCCAGTGATGGCGAACCTTTTAGAGACTGAGTGCCCAAACTGCAACCCAAAACCCACTTATGCATTGTCGAGTGCCGGATGGGTGTGGCTCACTGGGTGGGCGTGGCCCGTTGGGTGGGCATGGCTACGGTGGTAATGGCAGACTGGGTGGGACTAAAAATTTCAATCAATCAATTCCAACTTTGCAAGATCTTTTTTTCCCCACGAGAAGTTGAAATTGACTGATTGAACCTTTTTTTTTTTTTTTGCACATGGCGGCGGCGGTCTAAAGTGAAAAGGTTTTATAAAACCCAGCTGAAGGCCTAGGACTGGGGTGACGGCGCGCGTGCCCACAGAGAAAGCTCTGAGTGCCGTCTCTGGCACCCGTGCCATAGGTTCGCCACCACTGATCTAGTCGCTACTCTAATGAAAACACCTGGTGCTTGTGGAAAATAATGAAAAGAATCGATATGATCCTTCTTCAA